GCATTATTTTTTTTTTTTTTCAATTTTGCAGTGATTTTTACGGTGGCCCTAAGGTGTAAATGAACATTTGAAAAAAATGGAATTACATGAAGCCAAAGCGGAAGTGGGTAAAGTGGAAGTGGCTGGAATCACATTTGAAAAAACAGAATTACATAAGAAAGGAAAAAAAAACGGAATTGCATTAAGCCAAATGGGAAGTATTTTTATTTTTTTTAATTTTTACTTTATTAACAGCATAAAACCGAACAAGAGAACAATATACAGTACATACACATCGGAGATACAGTTAAAAGGATAGCCTGCTAACTGTATCTCCATTGTGTGTGTACTGTATATTGTTCTCTTGTTCAGTTTTAGGCTATTAATAAAGTTAAAAAAAAAAAAAAAAACGTCCCGTTTGGCTTAATGTGATTCCGTTTTTTTCAAATGTAATTCCATTTTTTTCTAAAATGATTTGGGCCACTTCCGCTTCGGCCACTTCCGCTTTGGCTTAATTCTGTTTTTTCAAATGTAATTCAGTTTTTTGCTAATTTAATTTTGTTTTTTTTCTAATGTTGTTGTGATTTTGTTGTTTATGTTGTTTTTTTCAAATGTTGTTCCTTTGCACCTTAGGGCCACCGTACATTTTACATTTAAACTAAACGTTTTTTTTCTTTAAATTGTGACATTATGGTGTTTCCATGTGTTCTGTCAGCCACAGGTTGAAGGAACTGACCGTATTTTTTATGTTAGGACCTGTCAAGGTTTCCTCTCTTTAAAAAGAGTTCAGATTTTTTTTTTTTTGAAGTGGGATTTTAAGGTTTCTGTAGTCTGTGTCTTACTGCAGTAGAACAATCTCAGTTTGGAGCATCTGTGAGAAATTCTTTTATAAAAGCTCTGCGGTGAGCTCGACACCTTCACTGAGTCAAACTGACATTATTCTGACTGCTGCCTACTATCTGAACTATCCCCTTCAGTGTTTTAATTTTATATCTTGTTTCACAATGTCAAAATTTTATTTCAAAAGTTGCAATTCAATCCAGTTTATTTATATAGCACCAAGTCACAACAGAAGTCCTCTCGGCACTGTACAAAAGCATCCATATACCTTATTTTCCGCTGTACAAGTTGCTCCTGCGTATAAGTCACATCAGTCCAAAAATGTCTAATAAAGTGGAAAAGAACATAAAAAAGTCGCTTCACTGTATAAGTTGCATTTATTATGCGTAACCGCTGACACGTTGGGTTTATGTGTCACCGCTGACAACTTGGAAATGTGGGCCGGTGTTGTGCCAAAAATTGATTGGCTGCCGTGGGAGCGTGCACGGGAGGACTTTAACAAGAATTGAACAAGATTAACACTTAAAAACAATGATTTGTTTGCTCGAAATTATAGCAAAGGTGTGTCGCAGTCTAACTTTTCCTTAATAAATGCACTTTAATGGTCAAACATTTCGCCGCACCGCCCAGGCGAAATGTTGCTGAATTGACGTTTGCTCCAGGAGTTTCGGAGCAAGACGAAGGTGGCTTGGTATGGCAAGCCAAAGTGTCTCATTAATAGCCACTTTGACCTAATAATGAGACACTTAGCTTGTCATCGAGGGCCTCTAGTGGCTGCAAATGGTAGTGTTTAATATTTTTCATGTCGGAATAAATGAAATCATCAGATCTCGGCCAAAAAATGAGCTATAAATATGGGGAAAAAATGTATATTAGTCGCTTTGGTGTATAAGGCGCAGGACTTGCAAATTTATGCAAAAAGATGCAACTTATAAAACCCATATATTCAAACCTTCTCACTTTTTTGTATATCTATTTTCTCTGACAAAGTAAGACTAAATATTAAGGCGTATAAATGGTAGTTCATGGATCTTCGTGTTTGACTCATGTCGATGTTGCGTTTTAACCCCTGCAAAGTGGTTTAGATTTCTTTCCATTGTAGTTTCATTCGACAGCTTAAGTTATGATCTGATCAATGAATTCACCCTCCTGCCACAGAGTCTTCGAAACCTGCTGAGCAGAAGTGAGGAAAAGACCTTCAACTGTTTGATTTTAGCAGCAGGGGGATCTTTGCCTTTTTCTACTTAAATCTGCAAAGCACACGTTTTAGATGATTTTGTCTTGTTCCTTGTTGAATAAGTCTGTCATGCCTGTAATATCTGATCCCATACCTCTGCTCTGCAGGATTTCTCTACAGGCTTTTACTTCCCACCTCCTGTCTTTCTGACAGGTGTACAACAGGGAGGGCCTAAAGCATCCTCAGAGGTTTAATTGTTACTGCGATGCTTTTTATTGGACATTATTATTCTACTGATTGACATGACCTTTATATAGCTGTCCTGCAATTTAATATTTTCCTGTTGGCTTTTTCCCTTTCTGGAAACAAAACAGAATTTCTAAATTGTATTCAGAGGAAGAAAAAAAAACATGATACAAATTACAATTCATAATCCTTGTCTTTTAAGGAATGCACATCAAGTTTTAAACTATGAAGATCTTATGTTGAAAATAAGGTTAAACCAAAAGAGGAATTTACAGTGCCTTGCGAAAGTATTTGGCCCCCTTGAACTTTTCAACCTTTTGCCACATTTCAGGCTTCAAACAGAAAGATATAAAATTTAAATTTTTTTGTGAAGAATCAACAACAAGTGGGACACAATGGTGAAGTGGAATGAAATTTATTGGATGTGTCAAACTTTTTTAACAAATAAAAAACTGAAAAGTGGGGCATACAATATTATTCGGCCCCCTTGTGTTAATACTTTGTAGCGCCGCCTTTTGCTGCAGTTCCAGCTGCAAGTCTCTTGGGGTTTGTCTCTATCAGGTTTGCACATGGAGAGACTGAAATTCTTGCCCATTCTTCTTTACAAAACAGCTCGAGCTCAGTGAGGTTGGATGGAGAGCGTTTGTGAACAGCAGTCTTCAGCTCTTTCCACAGATTCTCGATTGGATTCAGGTCTGGACTTTGACTTGGCCATTCCAACACCTGGATACGTTTATTTGTGAACCATTCCATTGTAGATTTGGCTTTATGTTTTGGATCATTGTCTTGTTGGAAGATAAATCTCCGTCCCAGTCTCAGGTCTCTTGCAGACTCAAACAGGTTTTCTTCCAGAATGGTTCTGTATTTGGCCCCATCCATCTTCCCATCAATTCTGACCATCTTCCCTGTCCCCGCTGATGAAAAGCAGGCCCAAACCATGATGCTGCCACCACCATGTTTGACAGTGGGGATGGTGTGTTCAGGGTGATGAGCTGTGTTGCTTTTACGTCAAACATATCGTTTTGCATTGTGGCCAAACAGTTCGAGTTTGGTTTCATGTGACCAGAGCACCTTCTTCCACATGTTTGATGTGTCTCCCAGGTGCTTGTGACAAACTTTAAACAACACTTTTTATGGATATCTTTGAGAAATGACTTTCTTCTTGCCACTCTTCCATAAAGACCAGATTTGTGCAGTGTACGACTGATTGTTGTCCTATGGACAGACTCTCCCACCTCAGCTGTAGATCTCTGCCGTTCATCCAGAGTGATCATGGGCCTCTTGGCTGCATCTCTGATCAGTCTTCTCCTTGTTCCAGATGAAAGTTTAGAGGGATGGCCAGGTCTTGGTAGATTTGCAGTGGTCTGATACTCCTTCCATTTCAACATGATTGCTTGCACAGTGCTCCTTGGGATGTTTAAAGCTTGGGAAATCTTTTGTATCCAAATCCAGCTTTAAACTTCTCCACAACTGTATCTCAGACCTGCCTGGTGTGTTCCTTGGTCTTCATGATGCTCTCTGCGCTTTGAACAGAACCCTGAGACTATCACAGAGCAGGTGCATTTATACAGAGACTTGATTACACACAGGTGGATTCTATTTATCAACATTGGATCATTCATAGATCCTCACTGAACTTCTGGAGTGAGTTTGCTGCACTGAAAGTAAAGAGGCCGAATAATATTGCACGCCTCACTTTTCAGTTTTTTGTTAAAAAAAAGTTTGACACATCCAATAAATGTCATTCCACTTCACGATTGTGTCCCACTTGTTGATTCTTCACAAGAAATAAAAATTGTATATCTTTGTTTGAAGCCTGAAATGTGGCAAAAGGTTGAAAAGTTCAAGGGGGCCGAATACTTTCGCAAGACACTGTATATATATGTGTGTGTGAGTGTGTGTGTGTGTGTGTATATATATATATATATATATATATATATATATAAAAGATGCACGATATTGGATTTTTGGTCGATATCCGATATATTAAAACTTATTTGGCCGATACCAATACTGATTATTTTTCACCCTAGACCTACTTACAGAGACTACATAGCTTTCTCTGCTGTGGAATTAAAGTACTCCATCATTCTGCATGGTCTTTGTCACTTTGTCCTGCTACCAAATGCAGATGCCAAAAAGGGGGCTGAAAACCTTGTGTAAGAAAACTGCAACAAACAGGGCCTTTATTGTTTGTTAAATTTGATCTGTGGTTCTAAGCACATGGTTTAATTGGTAATGAAATGTGTCATGTCTGTTTAACTACCAGCACCAGAAACAAGCAGCTTCATATGTTTTTTTTAAATTGGTTTAGGAAATGAACGACACAAAAACAGACTTTTAGTTGTGCAGAGAGACTGATGAGCAGAGCCAGATCAACGAGGAGCGCCGTCTCCTGCCAGACCAGGGATTTGAATGCAACACAGAAAGCAGATGCTAAGCTGCTGCTGTATCTGATGCAATGTCTCCTGCTGAGTTAGATGGATTCTGTTATTCCGTCGCTGGGTGGGCGAGCAGCCCTGCCAGGCAAGCCTCTGCTCTAAATGGAGCATAGTTCTGCCGTGGAGTCGGGGCGAGCCCACAGGAGCTGTCTTAGTTCTGTTATGTAGGTTAAAGCTGCTCGCAGACGCAACGCAACACAATGAGATGCAGGCGCTCCGTCACAATTAAAGGCTTTAACGTTCGTACAACGGACATTAAAATGACATTTGTTGTTGCAATAGACGTTCAAGGGAAATGTTTTGTTTTGTCTCATCAGAAACCGGCTCAGCCATCAGTGCCTCCTGTATCGGTTTGGGTAACTCGCTCACGCCACCTGCAGGCCAGGCAGGAAAACCAGTTCCAGGTTATAACGGTAAGACGACGAAGAACAAAAAAATTACCTTTTTTTCAAAATTTCTGTTATTATTGTGTGAATGTTTATGAAGCTTTCACACTTTTGTGATCCATTTTTCTTCCATACGCTTTTCGATGCGATTCTCGTCCCACAGTTTTGAAGCTATTTCATAAATCATATCTCAGAACGTTCAGTTCTTTCAGGACAATCCTGCTATGACTTTTGGTATTGGTGCAACTTTAGCTTTTTGAAATATTTAGCCTTTTCTGCAATTTTTACCCCCATTTTTTTATCGTAGAAAATGAATCAAGTTCATTTTACATCCTACAAATCTTTAGATCTGTTTGCAACCTTTTTCACGTTTTGTTCTGGTTCAGCTTCTTTCAGCTTCCTTGTGCACAAATTTATATATATTTTTTTAAATCAGCTGATTGTGCTCCTTTGATTCTTTCTGCTAATTTCAGCTAATGCTCTGCTCTGTTGTTTTCTGCTAGTTTCAGTTATTTCAGCTACATTTTAGCTTTTTCAGTTAATTCCACATTTTTTGTAATAATTTCAACTTTTTAAGCCTAATTCAGCAACTCTCTCCACTTCCTTCTGGTAATTTAAGCTTCTTTCCAGCTTTATTGGGCGAACGTTAAGCTTGTTCTAATTTCTCAGCTACTTTTTTTTTTTTTTTTTTCAGCTGTTTTCAGATAAATTCCAAGTTTTTTGTGGTAATTTCTGCTACGTTCAGTCTAATTAACTTCTGTCTGCTAATTTTATGCTGCTTTCAGCTATTATAGCTACTATTTAGCCGTTTTAGGCTAAATTTAGCTTTTTCAGCTAATTCCACGTTCTTGGAGCTCATTTCACTTACGTCTAGTAGTTAAAGCTTCTTTCTGCCTTTTCAGCTACTTTCAACTATTTTTTGCTTATTTCTGCTTATTTAAAGTTGGTTCTTAAAACTTAAGTGTTCTTTTGCTTTCTTCTGCTAATTTAGGCTTGTTCTTTCATTTCAGCTACGTTTTATCCAATTTCAGCTCTTTTTCATTAAGTTCTTCTGCAACAAGCATTCACTCTGCATTTTCGCAGGAAATGCAATTCCTCCAGTTGCTGGAGTTTTAATGAACGGCTTGTTGTTCCTTTTTGCTGCAGTCACAGTGATCGACGACGACATGCAGGAGGTGAAACCAAGAACTCTCGGAAATATCGTGGTGAGGTGAGCCTCGTAAGGAGCTTTGCACAAACACACAAAAGCATTAGACTCGAACAAACACAATTCAAATTTAATAATGAACTTTTAATAAACAGATTATTGCTAACCTCTTCTGTTTCTCTGAGGGGAAAATCTGTTGAGAAAAATGTAGCTGAGTGGACTTTGATGAAAGCTGCTCCGGTCCTTCGTGCTGCCCTCTCCTCCAGCCTGCGATCTGTCTGTTATCACCCCCCAAACTCCACTTCCCTGCTTTTTCTAAATGCTAGTAATGACTCGGTGCTGAGGGGAGGAGGTGGGGGGGATTTCCAATCTACAGTGCATCGAGTGACGAAGGGGAGCTGCCAGAAACGGACAGGGACAGCTGTGTTTTGTTCTTCACTTTTTTTGGAAGAAAATCTGTATCTGTCTTTAATTCCTTCAAAAGAATAGTCTTTGCCGAGTTGTTTCAAAATGTGCAGATGGAGTTGGGGTGTTGCAGCTCCTACATGTCTTGATTTGGAAGCTGCAGAAATATAAGCAGTTAGGATGTTTTGGGTGCATCTTGATCCACGCACAGTGCTGGACTAAAAAGAACCATTCCATGAATTATGCTGCTTTTTTTATATTTAAAGTGCAGTTTGTGCATGGAAGTGTGTGCTGTAATAATTATATTATTAAACAATTTATTTATGCCTTGAAAGCCAGTTTCTTCAGTGGAGAGTCAGGTTTAGAGTTCAGAGGAAACGGGATTATCAGGAGTCCCCTGACCTTGCGGCTCCCTGCAGGTCAGGTCTGAGCCTGGGGGGCGTATCAACACAAGCGTCAGATTCTGGCTCAAGTCTTAGGAGATGCAGCGAGATGTTCTGTGTGAAGGACCGTAAAGAATATGTTTTTCTGTCACAATTATTATTTTTAAACTTTATAAGATAATTTTACACTTTCCCTCCCTTCAGACTACCGTTACCGCCAGGTGCGGCATCGTCTCTGTGGCAAAACCAGGATCTGTTCAAGAAGCTCTACTTCACCAAGTTTCCAGTAAGTTAAAACTTTACCTCAGGACAGTTAGTTTAATGAAAGTAAACATTAGCACTGAACACATTGTAATAAAATAAAACATTGTATAATAAAGTCTTCAGTAAGTTAACACATACCGTTTGTAGTAAAATGTCGCCCTCTAGTGTTAAAATATTAAAACTGCAGCACTTCTGTAAAAACTTTGCATTTTTACTAAAACCTAAAGTTTTACTTAAGTTATAATTTAGCTGAATTTCTTCAAAGCAGTGATTTGATCATAGTTGTGCGTTTCTGTCATTCTTCCACGTTATTAGGGGTATTATGACACCATGGACGCGGGGTTTCTGGATGAGGGATTCCTTTACATCATGTCTCGGTCTGATGATGTCATCAACGTGGCTGGGCACAGGCTGTCTGCTGGAGCTTTAGAGGAAGTAGGAGAAGCAATCGTGGCCGATGCGATCCAAAGCTTTTTCCCTTCGATGTATTATAAAGGATGCGTTTGTGTTTTCCAGTCGGTGCTGCTGCACCCTGCAGTGGGAGACTGCGCTGTTGTGGGTCTGGAGGACAAACTGAAGGGTCACGTTCCTTTGGCGCTCTGCGTGCTCAAGAATGGTGAGGAGTAAATGTAACTGTATCCTCGGCTGAAGGATAAGATTGTATAAATTCCAACCTTGTGCTTTTGGTCACACTGAATTGTGGGTTTGCATCATATTGCGTCTCAGGTGTGGGGAAAACTGAAGAAGAAATCACGAAGGAGATGGTCAAGCTTGTGAGAGACACTGTTGGACCAGTGGCTGCCTTTAGGAATGTACTGTTTGTGCGTGGATTACCTAAAACACGTTCTGGCAAGATTCCTCGCTCTTCTTTGGCCGATCTAATCAATGGCAAACCTTACAAGGTAAAAGGAAACTCATCGGGGAACGTCTAATTGAGTCCGATCCTCTGGACAGATTCTTTTTTGTTGAAACGGTCCCAACAAAGACAAATCCATCCAGAGGACCAGACCTTGTTAGATTAATCTACCTGGATTATTGAGCATGCATCATCTGCAGGTCCTGCTCTCATTATTTTGTTTTGTTGATGTTCCCAAAGGAAAATGAGTTAAAAAGTGGGGAAAATCTCAGTATAGTCGTTTATAATTAATTATTTTTTATTGGAAACTGGTTGAAACTGTTAATTGATTTATGTGTACTTTTAAAAGACACTTTCAGCATTCGTGCTTTGAAAATGCTTCTCTTCACAGATCACTCCAACCATCGAGGACCCGGAGGTGTTCAAAGACATTGAGAAGCAAGTAGAAAAAGTTCTGGGACGTCATGCAGCCTGAACCTGGGCGACTTTGACGAGTTTCACAGAATCTTACTAAGAGGTAAAAGTCTGTTTTTAAAAAATTAGACTGGTAAGACTTAAAGCGACAGCGCAGAATGTGTGGACCTGTAAATGAACAGTTAAAGAAAACAAGTGACCAAACTAGTTATTTTAAAATATCAGGTTATCGTTTGATACAAATCATCACAGTCAGCCCTAAATAATAAAAAAAAAAAAGACTTTTGCTCTAATAGTATGATTGATCTTTTCCATTAGTGCAGGGATCTGCAACCTGTGGTCAAAACTAACTTTAAACAAGAAAAAAAGCTAGTTTTTCTGTCATTTCCTTTACAAATATGCGAACTAATACAAGGAGTGCTTTCCCTTTTTTATTTCTTCCAAGTAGGATACTTAATTTTTCAACAATCAAAAAAAAAATATAATAATCAGACCTGTGCAGTTCTTTTTAAAAATTGGGCAAAAACTTGTTTTCTTTACAAGAATCTTTTCAGTTCGTCTTCAAAATATCAACAAACCTTAAAAATCATTACTGTATTTTCCGAACTATAAGTTGCTCTTTTTTCATCGTTTGGCCAGTCCTGCTACTTATACGTTTTTTTCTTTCTCCCCTATTCATGACAGTTTTTATTCAAACCGAAAACATTACCATTTGCAGCCACAAGAGGGCCTTCTAGGCTTTTGATAACTATGTTATTCCTCTACTGCTAAACCCCCAAACATTCACTTAGAGACAACTGAGAAAAACTCAACACAAGGAAAATCCTATTCTGCAGATTACAAACAGTAGGTAATAAAATATGGGGGGGGGGGGGGGGGGGGTGTCTGCACAGCGGACCTGGCGGCGTGTCCGGAGACGAAGGTGGCTTGCGGCGATGCATAATAAATGCGACTTATAGCCCAGAAAATACAGTAGATATTTTCAGCTTTATACTGGCCAGAAAAGCACAATCCAACAAACTAAGTGGTCCACGGGCCACCAGTTGTGCCTCTGGACACGTTTAATTTAGTGAACGAAGGGGGCCGAAATGTCTCTTTTGACCGTAAAGGTTGCAGACCCCTGCATTAGTGTGTGCAACCTAAATATTAACGTGATGCTGCAGATTCATAATGAACAGAAGTCCTCAGACCAAATGAATAAAATTCACTAACAGTTTTTTTTTATTGACAATGAGAACTTGTTTGCTCACCACTTAGTTTTGACCAAAGTACAAGAATAATAAAAAAAAAAAAAAAAACGAAATGGTTCCTCGTTCGTGCAAATTGAAGATGTCAAACAGACGTCAGGCCTGTGCAGTAGATCAACCAGAAAATCAAAAGGTAACACTTGCACCAAATGTAAGTCACAGCAAGCAACAGGTTTTGCCAAATCACCTCACTTCAACATGGTCATATACACACGATGAGCTGCAAGTGTGTTGATGCTGACAAAACATACGCTACAACAAGTGACACGGTCCACACATGGGAGTACTGCTGTTTACGTTCTGAGAGACAACTGTCTCTTCTTTTGTCCTTGGCTACTAAAAGTCTGAGTTGATGCGGTTGTATGAAAGTGCTCGTCATGTTCCGGTGTCGACACATCCTCGGAAAAACGCTCCTTTTTGTTGTTGTTGTGCGAGTCCATAAGAAAAATTGTTGGTGGTACAATGAGCCACCACTAGAGGGCAGGTTTTCACAGAACATATTCATAGTCATAAATATTAGCACAATGAAAAAATAAAACCATATGTACAAAATGATCTCGTACAAGGGAAAGATGGACTTTAAAGAGCAGCATGTATTCTATAGTCCACTAAATGAGGCGGCAAGGACGATTTTTTTCGCACAAACTCTGAATATCTTTTTATACATACATGTTTGTGTATATAGTAAAAATGGCATATTTATATTATTTTACAGATAGAATTGCACAGTACATTATGCTCTGACAAGTTACTTTACATGTAAAAGGTAGAAATGGTGACGACGAGGCAGCCTGCAGGACAGTTTAGCACCGGCGCCCACGTTACAGGGGAGTCAGAGAGGAAAGCAGAGCTTCTTGGCAGTGCGTGTCATCAGACTGGTTTAGTTCCTCAGCAGATTGGGCCCGTCCAGCAGCTCCAATAATACATTTCCATTCAGAACTGTAGCTGAGGGGCAGATAGAAAGGTTGAACAATCAATATTCAGTTTCTGCAGCATTCTTTAACAGTAAGTCGATAATTGAGCTGCTATGCGTGGAAACTTATACCATCACAGAGTTTAATGGTCTATAAGTGAATTTGTTTCTTACACAGATCCGGGCCCGTCCAGAAATATAGATACAGCATGTATAGTAGTTCAGTTTCAAGGAGGCAGTAAAACACAAAGAAAAGTACTTCTTTCTTTAAGTCTGTCATGCCACAAAGTGATTGGTGCCGTGGGAGCGTGCACGAGAGAACTTGCTGTTAACAAGATAAACAACTTGAAAACAATTGTTTGCTTGAGATTACAGTAGTCCTTCGCTACTTTGCGGTTTTTCAAAATAAGCCACATGATGAGCATGAATTTTTTATTTAAAATACATTTTTAATTACTTAGCACCTGCTGCACATTTGTGCAGAGCGGAGAAGTGGGCGTGGCCAAGAGCACTTGCAGACGGCAAAAAGCAGAGGAGGAAGGGAGCTGAAATCTCTTAGAGCTTAGAAACATTGTTTAGAATACAGCAATCACACAATATAAAAAATATTAAATTATTTTGAATTATTTTAGAACTTCTATGTTTAGTTGTTTCAGTGTAATTGTTCAAGAAGTATATTTCTGCTCCGTGCTGCAGAGCTCAAGTTGTGTGACATCCCTGTGATGTCCTGCTGAACTTCTCTACAATTTAAATACACAATCCATGCTGTATGGATTGTTTATTTAAAGGAGGGAGTAACAGGTGACGTGTGTGATTGTAGCCTGGCACATGTCATGACAAAGTTTACTGAACTTGGACTACTGTATTCCAACTTCGCAGTTTTTCACTTATCGTGGATCTTCAGGGTACAGATCCCCCACAATAAACAAGGGTCTACTGTATAGCAAAGGTGTGTCTCAGTTTACATTTCGCCTGCTTGTTAAATTACGAGCCATAATCGATTTTTGGCCGGCATTTATTAAGGAAAACGCAAACGGAGACACTTGTTAAATTTCAAAGAACTCAAACAGGGCACCGACAGATAAGCCAAAAAGGAAGTTGTTTTCTAAGTTTCTTTGTGTTTTACCACCTCCTTGAGACTGAACTTTCACCAACGTGAAACGTCCATCTGTCAATCTTTGTTCGATGACTCTGGAAAGACACAACAAACTGAATTTTCAAAGCAAATGAATTCAGTTGCAGACTATTAAACTCAGTTTGTGATGGCATAAGTTTCAGCCCATGCATAGCCCCGCCTCCCCACAGTTTGGTTGCGTAGTTCCTAAAATAAGAATAAGTCGTAGCTTGACGGTTTCCTCTAAGGACATTAAAAACAGACTCCTGTAACACTAGTTGCCTTTTATAATAGGCTTGATATATTGGTGCCACATACAGGTTGTTAACGGGAACAAGTGGCACTTCATAAGGTCCAATCTGAATCCAATTTATTTCAGTCTTTGTGAGCGGTGCACCTCAGAGAGTAATTGTGTTGGATGTGAAAATGAACATGTACCTCCACACTTGAAATGTTTAGTTTATATCAGAAAGCATATTAAAATATCAACGTTAGACCGTTTTAAATTTTTTTTTCCCCCCCCAACGTTGATTATGCATCAATTGAATGTTTTAAGCCAAAGCTCTGCAGATGTCTTTGTTTTTGCCTCACCCCAAACCCTGTACGAGCTTTTCTCTAATTGCAACTGCTTGCATTAGTTAAAAGAAAAAAAAAAAAAAATCCTGTCAGGAGTTTTAAAGAAGGTACTACATGAACTTTGCAAATATTTTCTTTGCAGGAGTACTAAAACAAAAATGTAACGACAGCAACAGAATAGATTTTTGGAAAACAAAAGTAATAAAATGTAAACTTAGTTCTATAATTATGTTTAGGAGGACTAAGGTTATTGTGGCATAATGCATTTTTAGAGGTTAATATTATAGATCCCCTTCCATCAGTTCTGAATAGTTTGGCCAATCATAAATAGGATGGAAGTTGTGGTGCCATGTGTTTGTAAAGTTCAAACGCTCCTCACTGCTCAGCTTGTGTTCGGGTGTTTAATCCATACCCATTTGAAATGTTTGGAGAAGATCTTGGTTTCTCAGATACGCCTTTTCATTGTTTCCTCCGGTTGTGTGGCATTTACTGGTAATTTTTGTGCGGACACTAGTTGCCTTTTTCTGTTCTAATGACTTAAAGTTTGGGTGGTGAGTCAAGTAAACGCTCCTGCTTGGTTTTCTGTAGCTTTCAGTTCTTCATGTGCACCAGTCAATCTCAAAAGCAGCTCATTGTTCCCATAATAAACCTGGTGTAAAACAAGAAGCTGTAGAAACCTTCACCTGACACATCTTGGATCTGAATGACTTGGTCAGTGTTTTAAGTTTCAAGTTCTAAAGTTGGAACATTAAACACGTGAACCAGATCTTTACCCTGCAGAACTGACCTACAAAGCTCTCAACAACCTAGCTCCATCTTATATTTGAGATCTTATTGCATATTTTCTTAACAGAGCGCTTTGCTGTCAGACTGCAGGCTTACTCACGGTTCCTAGAGTTTCCAAAAGCAGAATGGGACGAAGATCTTTCAGTTATCAGGCTCCTCTCTTGTAGAACCAACTTAGTTTCTGTCCAGTTTTAAGATTTTCCTTTTTTGATAAATCCTTTAGTTAAGGTTGGTTACTAGAGGACAATTTGACCTCATTTCCTTAGACCTGCCATTGTGTATCTGTTCCTCTCAAACCCAGCCAGTCGAAGCAGATGGCCACTTATCCTGAGCCTGGTTCTGCTAAAGGTTTCTCCCTCATGAGGGAGTTTATCCTGTCCACTGTCGCCTTCATGCTTGCTCAAGATGAGTCTGTGATGAAGTTAAACTTGGAAGGTTTTATTTTTTTTAAAACAAAAAACATCCACACAAACCAGTATCTTTAAGTCGCCGCCCACTGGAGCACTGATTTTGTAATCAAAATGAACTAGAGCTGATCTGTTGTTGAAATGCTGAGAAACTCAATCTTCTCCCAACAGTTCTCAGACAGAAACTGGTTCACCCCGAGGATTAAACATCTTAACACAATCTTTTTCAGCACTTTAGAAGGAGAAACTTTCATAAACCCATGATACAACACAGAAGTGTTTGACATTCTTCTACTTCTCAAACATGAGACTTTTTAGAACAGTAACGTGCACATTTTGAACTATTTTAAACTTTTTGGTGTTATAGTGTGACCATGTCAACTTTGACTTACAAGTATATAGGCCTGTCGCGATAAGCAAATCAATTCATCGCATGATAAATGAAATTTATCAACCTCATTTTCTTTGCGTCTCTCTCTTTCTACTGGATGACAAAAAGCTCAACTTCAGTGCTCTTCACTGACCACACCCTCTCTCTTTAAATCTGTTTTAGTGATCCAAAATCTTGATTTTGGATCATTAAAAGCAGCTAAGCTAACAGGCTGACTTAGTCTTTTCAAAACCTGTGCTTTCGTGTAAAAAGTTTTTGTTTACTGATTTTTTTTAAATTAAAAGCTTTGTGTGACAAATGCTATGCTAAAGAGCTCAAACCACACAGAGCGTCCACCATTTTGAGAACCACAGAGAGACAGCCCATGTCATGTCAAGAGGCCTCCCTCCCATTTTTTTTAGACACGCTGCTCACTCCCTCACTATCCATCCTTTGGTCGAAACAGTCTTATACTACCATCTAGTGGTCAAAAAAGGTACTGCACTCAAAACAATTTAACAAGCCTTTCTTCTTAAAATCGAAAAAAATTAATAATTAGTTAAATTTCAAACAATATCATTTATTGCAATAATTTCTGAGACAATTAATCGCCCAGCAAAATTTGTTATCGTGACAGGCCTACGAGCATAACTCAAAATGTCTTTAAGAAACAAAACCAAACTGGTCACCACCTTATAACACATGGTTTTGATCAATTTGCAGATGCCATTATATAGATTCATATTACACCACAAATCCATCTCAGCTTAAAGTCTAGTAAACGAAACATGCCATTCCAACACTCAGTGTTGCTTTTCAGAGCCTCTCTACTGTTAAATCGTTGATTCTGTATAATGATAAAAATGTAATTGAATGTTTGACTTTCAATAAATGTATTACTGCATATGGAAACTACAGCCTGGTTTATTGGTAACATTCCTTTCAACCTTAATATTCAAATCAGTCAATGTAGTTTGTGCTACTCTGTAAACCTGTATATTTGACAGTGTTGTGTTACATACTGAGTACAGTTTATGGTCCCTCTTCCTCCTCTCAGCAGGAGTAGGTTCTCACCGTGGAGCTGTCCAGTCGCTGCACTGCAGACGGTCCAACTGTAGGTGGGGGCAGTGAGAGATTATTTTTGATATAGCTAACCAGTGAAGAAAAACTACCGTAATTTTCGGACTATTAGCCTTTACTTTTTTCACACGCTTTGAATCCTGCAGCAAATTTATGTATTTTTTTTATTTTTTTGACGGGTTAACGAGCTTCATGCCGCCAAAACATTTAGCCTCGTCAAACCCGAGCGCTCACATAGCTGCCAAATACATATTTCTCTTAGGGGGTGGGTCCTCGTGACGACTACCTTTATAAATAAAAAGTTAAAAAAAAATCTTGACCAAGTCACATCCCCCTTCGTTGAAGTATTTGCAGCCAGTCGAAACAAGCGTAAATCAAATCAAACAGCGAATTAGCCTAGAGAATAAAGTGACGTTGAGAACAACGACAAGAGAGAGACTGAGGACGTGTGTGATGAAGTTATTCTGAGGCTGTTCAATTCTGGCACTGAAGAAGACGACGACTTTAGTGGTTTAGTGCACAAGAAAAATGAAGATCGTGATGATGATGACTTTTTCTGGTAGGTTACTGTATTTACTGTATCTATTTTGTTTTTAACCAGCTGTTTTACAGGCACTGTTCAGAAAAAAAACAAAAAAACATTTTTTGTACATATTTAAATTTTTTAATGTAAATATCTCATGCAACATAGACAAGTGTGGCCTATATATGTACGAAAGATTTTTTATTTTTAAATTTAGTGGACGTGGCTTATATTCAGGTGCGCTCAATAATCCGAAAATTACGGTACTTTAGTTCTCACATTAAGATTAAACATTTTCCATACAATAGTAACAAGACTTTTGCTTTGACTGGGCTAGATGTTAGTAAATTGTGGATATCACAGTGAATAATGATGGAGGAACTCGGGAAAGTTGTTTTTGTGTTAAAGAAGAACACTGGCCAAAACTACCTAGGATATTTCCAGTCATGTAGAACATCCCTTACAGCATAAAGATATAACTGCTGATTGACTCTGACTCTACATAAATGAGCAAGTGTGCATGTTACACATTCTTTATCAGCAGGTTGTCGTTAAACGGTAAATGATTGAACTTCCTGTGTGCACCTCGGGACTTGTTTTAGATGTGTCCTTGCTCCAAGGCATACCTCAACAGCTTATCACGTTCAGCAGGAAAACGTATTTAACATGTGGGGGTTGGGAAACACTCGACTCTGGTGTTTAAATGACAAACAGTCTACAGAATAAACTCCGAAGTTTAAATTTCTGCTTTGCTTAATGAAGAATGCATGCTATCCTTAAATCAAATTGTAACACCAGGTAAGTAAACTAGGATCTGGGAATATCACCCTCTTTCAACCAGTGTTCTCCTCGAACAGCACAGGGATCAGGATTGACACGAAACTTCAGTTTTAGTATTTGAAATATCAAAGACCTAATGATCACATACACAACAGTGTTTAGTTATTCTAAGGGTTTACCAACAAGTATGAGTCATCATTTCTGCTTAGGTATATTTGCAACACAAAAAAACACCTTTGGAGCCGATGAGAAACCACAATATTAAGGAGAGATACAGCAGGACAGTGGTTGGCAAAGATCACGTAAAGTGGAGGAAGAGCGTAAGTAGAAGCACACAAGCCCAAAACTTTGTGGGGGCAGAGCTGACCTTGAAACAAATCCAAATACATGTCGTCAGGACTATCATCCAGAGCCTCAGAGAGGACTGCAGGACCGCCATCAGTCAGAGAGAATAAGAAGCAGTCAGGAGCAGAAAACTATCTGTAGTGGACGTGAGCTTTTTGTGTTAGTTGGAACTAGGGCTGAACAATTAATTGCAGTTGCGATAATATCGCGATATATGATAAAACGAGATTTTCTAATTGCAAAGGCTGCGATTTGACTGGTCACGTGACTTGCGAGTGAGCAGGAGACGTCAACACTGCACTTTAACCAGTTGCACAATGGCGTCAGGCTCGACAGAAGCTGATATTTCTGAAAGTTTGGCACCTAAGAGCGGCAGCACGTCCGTTGTTTGGAATTATTTTGGCTTTAAAATAGAAAACGCTGCACGACGACGTGTTGTGCAGAACCTGCCTTGCTGCTGTCGCTACCTCTCGAGGTAACACCACAAAGAAAGTCATTTACGATAGTTACATGGCTAAAATACCAACGACCAGTGCTTCAACTTCAAGTAAGCAAAGTACCAGCCGACGGGGATCACTGACCAAATTGTTTGAAGGTTTTACTCCGTATGAACATAATTTGAAACGGACGCGGAAATAACTAGCAATAACTGAGTTCATAGTGAAAGACATTTTTGCTACTGAAACAGATTTATTGCTTTTGTTCATTGAAAAATAATCGCATCTTAAATCGCAATTAGAACATTTTCCAAAATCGTTCAGCCCTAGTTGGAACCTACACTTTACCACACTTTGACTAAAGTTGCACCAAGCCAAACGATTATATCATTTAAAAAAAAAAGAAAATTATTGTCGGTGGAGGAATACAATGTGTGCGAGTCAGTCGCTCACCCTCAGGGGGAAGCCTTCTGGAGTGACCAGATGTTGCTGTGAGACGGAACCCGGCAGGAAGAGTCTCTGCTGATCCAGGCATCATGCTGATGCCGTGGACGTCCCTGGGAGGGAACTGTCTCCGCCAGGACGGACCCCGAAAGTCCTTGTCATCACACTGATCGGGGGAGAAAAAAGTAAAATGGTTTACAGCTCATAACACTGATTTGAGAGTGGGATACTTGAGTTGGAGTACTATTGAAGTAAATGAGTTGCCGTTTCCAAAATGCAAGGATTTTGTAATTTTGAATAGTAAAAGTTCTCCTGCATGCTTCAGTTTTAGCATCACCTTTTTTTTTTGCATCAGATCATGAGAATAAATCAAGTCCAGTCACCTAAAGAGGAATGTGCATTTGCCCTAAAATCTATTTAAACTCAAATAATCGTCAACATTTTACTTTAAAGTGGTGATATTTGCCGCTCACCTCTTCCAGCCTCCTGTCGGTGCCCAGCGCCAGCAGATTGTTGTACTCTCGCTCCAGAATCTGACGTGCCTGAAGAAAGAAAAACAGATTACTCATTTTCACAAGTCCATCTATTTTTAGCTGCACGACAACAGAGGCAGCTGACACGCCACCTTAATTAAGCTTCATATTAAAATTACCCAGTTATAGATGAGTTTCACAGGGCGACTTGCCAAATAAACAGTTGGGAAATTTGCATGTTCTGACTTTGATTCCATCAGCTTTTGAGGGCTGATACAAACACTCCTATTTTTGCATTGAAGGTGCCATTGGATGATTTTAATGCCCATAGTTACATTTAATTAAATGCTGCCACTAAGTACTACATGTTCCTTAATGATAAACACTTATCCATATTAACTGGCGCAGTGTTCATTTTAAATGAGTTGCTTACCAGGAATATTATAAAATGGTCTGGCACGTCATTTATATAGGTGGAGTACCTGAGTGCTTTGGTTGGGGATCTGGAGGAGCAGCGCCAGGCTACTGTAGTCAAAGTTGTCATCCAGAGCGACCAGAGCTCCGTGCACGCCGCTCTCCAGCAGGATGTTGGCATAGTCCCTCAGGCCTATACTCTGCACCCAGCGGATGACTCGTTCATTACTCCACACCAGCACATCTGCAGAGATGAGCACACACTTAATACAGAGTTGTTGTTTTTTTTTCTCCATTAGGTTTGTTATTATTTTATTATCATTTTTATTTTTTTGTATTCTTGCCTCTTATTTCATGCAGGCTTTGTTCTCTTCGTCTTTCCAATTCCTTCCTGTCATAGTTGAGCTTCTTCAGACACATGATTCCATACTGTAAACTTGTTCTAATTTCAGAAAAACACAGCCATGGAAGATAAAAAAAAAAAAACACTTTCCCCTTTTGATTATGTTTACCGTAATTTCCCGACTATAAGCTACTGTTTTCACACGCTTTGAACCTCACGGCTTATACAATTCTGCAGCTAGTTTATGGATTTTTTTTTTGACGGGCTAACAAGCTTCCTGTCATCAAAACATTTTGCCTCGTCACCCATGCGCTCACATAGTTGCCCAGTAAATGTCTCGGGGGTGGGTCCTCGTGACTCTATGAGACTAACTGTATAAATAAAGGTAAAAAAAAAAAAGTCCACTATAGAGGGTGGGAAACGTCTCCCCCTTCTCCCCTCCCGTTGTACACAACAAAATATTTGCAGCCACTCTAAATAATTGAGAATCGTAAATCAAATTGCAAATTTGCCTCGAGACCATAAGCGTCACAACCATATGTGAAGGAGACATGTCCCCCCACATAAAAAAAAAAAAAAAATTAATTTGGACCCCCCCCCCCCCCCCCCCCACCCACACACACTCATACTATAAAACATTTGTTCAGGCGGCGCAGTTTCTCTTCGTGAACAAATCTATTCCACTTGATCAATAGGAGAATACTCAAGCCACTAAAACTCCACTCCAGGTTTTCCTGGTTACCTCCAACTCTACAACATCTCCTGCCTCGGCAGAAAACGCGCACAGGTAGAGGAGGTACCTGTGTTACTCGCTCGCCAGTTTAGCAAGCTTAGTGCGGGCAGTTGTTGACCGAGGGGGTTGATCATAAACATATTCGTGATTAGGAGGATGCTTGAGAGGAGCGCTACGTAGCATCTTAGCTTAGCAGTAACTGTGACGCTGTGTGTTCAGGTGCATTAAAGTTGAAATGTCTTTAAAACCCCACACCTTATTGTCCTCAAGCTTCATGAGAAACATCATTTAGATGAGTCATGTTGAACATAAGTAAAAATGTCCAGTGGTGATGTTTTTTATTTCTCTATAAAGACAAATGGTGCCGACCTGACACTCTGTATTAAAGTTCAAATGTTTTTAAAACCCAAAGCTGAATTTACACAAACTTGGTGAGAAACATGTTTTAAATGTGTGGAATTAAAGGAAATCTAGGTGAAATGTTTTGTACACTAGTGAACACCTTTTTTTGTTTGTTTTTTTACGCACGCAAACACATCATTGTGTCCCCCCCCCCCCCACCCACACACACACACACATTACGGATGCTTCTGACGCCCTTGCTCGAGACTAAGGTGACGTTGAGAGCGACAACGAAAGAGACTGAGGACGTGTGTGAGGACATTTTTCTGAGGCTGTTCAATTCTGAAACTGAAGAAGACTTTAGTGGTTTTAGTGCACAGGAGGAAAATTGCGATTAATGACTTTTCCTGGTAGGCTACTGTATTTTTTTTCATTCGATCTTTATTTAAACAGGTTAGTCCCGTTGAGCCAAGAGGACTCATTTACAAGAAAGACCTGGACCAAGAGAGACCATTTTATTTTTTAACCAGCTGTGTTGTTTTAACCAGCTGTGTTACAGGCACTGTTAAAAAAAAATACTGTACATATTTGTTACTGGTATGTATTTAATTAAAAGTTACAAAAACATCGTTCTGTGTAAATATCTCATGTTATAATGTGAAAACCTGCAGCTTATACACAAGTGCGGCTTATAGATGTGGAAAACTTTTCTTTTTAAAATTTATTTAGTGGGTGCGGGTTATATTCGGGTGCACTTTATAGTCAGGAAATTACGGTATTTAACCAGAAAGAACTCTTAAAAAAAACATACCTGTGGAAGCTGTCCACCATTTTCAGATGCACCCTCAGGTCCTTCTTGGTGAGGTGGTCCAGCATGCGGGCGTCGACCAGGCACTCCATGAAGTAGCTGCGGTACTGAGGTAGTCCGAGACTGGGCAGCCACTCGTTGCCTATCCACTCATGGTTCATGTCCCCATAAGCCAGAGTCTGAGAGGAAATGTGCACCATAAATCAAGAAGCTCTGAGCTGTTTTTTTTTATGGAATACAGCACATTTACACGTCGACTGCAGGCCTTCAACATTACCTGTGCCCAGCTTCCCTCGTCAGAGTTAGACTTCTGTTAACAATATCAGGAAAAGAGGGAAAGAGATAAAATAAGCTTGTTTAAAAAAAAAAAAAAAAAAAGTAAAACGCAACAAGCAAATTTTTTTTAAAGTTTCCAATGCGCCCTGTACAAACAAGTGAAACATCGATTTAAGCTTTTGTTGTAAATGGCTTGCCTGTTTTTGAAAAATTTAAAGAAAAAACACTGACCTAATGCTCAAACACTTCCAAGCAAGTTTAAGTTGCAAACAGTGCAATTTATACATAAAAATATACTTTTCACAATAATACAGCAATACTTATAATACCATGGTACAAAAAAATGTACAGTTCCCACCTTACTGCACATTAGATTTCCACATGTTTGCATTTGATAACCGTATTTATGATGCAAATGTGTTCCAGATGCAGCTTCAAAAAGCTGTCTCAACTGGTTATTAGTATTGACAGGAAGTTTACAGTCCAGGGGAGGGATCGACCATTGCATGCCTTCTATCTCAGCCACCATCCACACCTGTCCTCACATTAACTCTCACAGACAGAAATAAAAAAAGGTGACAGAGGAAACAAAGGGACTGACCGTTCTGGAAGGAGCTGCCAGGGTCTCCATTTCCTCATGGGTCACCCATACGTTGCCTGACGGCTACACAGGGCCGAGCCCAAGAGACGGAGCAGCAGCGGGGGTGGTAGTAGAGGTCCGGTAGGTGGGGCAAGCAGTGTTAAAGAAGAAGAGCAGCACCACTGTAAGCCAATAGCGTTATAGCATCACAGTCAGACGATGAAACCCACCAGGGGTCAAAGGAAATGAGCAAAGGACAAAAACAGTACAGCACAAAACAACTGGGACGTACAATAAAACATAAAAAAAAAAAATAGTTGCCATGCACAACACTGAAATAATTTAACAGACATGTGACCCACATTACTCATCTCTCACCATCAATCTGCCCGTAAAACAGGTTTTTCATATGGTGGAAAAAGACATTTGTAATAACAACTACAGTAATGAGTCAATCTGTTTTTGTGCTTTGACTGTTAAAACACATGAAGTCGTGTGAAATGATCATTTTAATCTCCTTGTATCTTAATGACGTGTTAAAGTAGGTGGGCTAAAAAAACCAACATCTCCATCCAAAATCTAAAACTACTGGATTGGGCTGAGATAATGTGGACACACCAATCAAATCCTTGATTATTGTTGGTCAGTATGCATCTCCATCTACTGTTTGTACCATAAAACTGTCAAATGTCATGTTTTAACTTTGAGCGATTGTAAGTGATAAAAGAGACGGTGAGGTAAATAGTAACGTGAGAAACGGAGATGGAAAAAGTGTCAGTTTGAGTTATGAGGGTTGCATGCATGCATCTGGTCTAAAACACCAGTTTTAAGGACTGAGTTCATTTAGCAGTTTCATAAGTCCTTTACATGCAGGGTTGCACTTTAAGTTTGCAGTGCATACGTTTTGATTTATATTGTGAAAAGTTGCCATCATGAAGAAGCCTTATACAGTACCGTATTTTTTGGCCTATAAGTCACATTTTTTTGCATAATTTACCTGGCCTGCGACTTAAACACCAAAGCGGCTTATTTGTGTTTTTCCCCATATTTATAAACCAATTTTTGCCTGAGCTATAACCGTTTTTATTCATTCTGACATTGAAAATATTGAACATTACCATTTCCAGCCGCTAGATGGCACTCAAGTAGTATGGCATGCTGTTGTGTCACGTAATAGGTAAAACTGGCTATTAATGACACAATCGGCTTGTCATATGCTCCCACCTTCGTCCAGCTCGTCTAGAGCAACCGTCAAATCAGCTTCATTTCGCTGCACCGCCCCAGCAAAATGCAGCTAATTTGACCATTGAAGTGCATTTATTAAGTAAAAGTTCAACAGAGACAAACCTTAACTATAATCTCGAGCAAACAATTGTTTTTAGGTGGTTATATTGTTAAATTTCGAAGAAATGCACAGCAAGTCGTCACTCTGCATGCTCCCGCTTCCGCGAATCGGCTTTTGAAATGCAGCTTATTTGACCGTCAAAGTGCATTTATTAAGGAAAAGTTAGACTGAGACACACGTTTACTATCATTTTGAGCAAACAAATCATTGGTTTTAAGTTAATTTTGTTAAATTCTTGTTCTCCCACACACGCTCACGCAGCCGCCATTTGGCAGCCAATCGATTTTTGGCACAACACCGGCTCACATTTCCGAGTTTTCAGCAGTGATGCGTAACAAACACGACGTGTCAGCGGTGACGCATAATAGATGCGACTTATACGGCGAAGCGACATATTTGTTTTTTTCCCCCACTTTATTAGACATATTTGGACTGATGCAACTTATAGGGCGGTGCGACATGTACGGCAGAAAATACAGTAACCCATTTGGAGATATAAAATCAACTTATACTTTTGCCTCAGTGGCTGTGATTTAGTTAGAATATTTTTGTCAAAGCCACAGAGGTAAATGTAAATATAGTGACTTCAACTGATCACACTGTTTTTAATGAGAGTTATTGATGTTAAGTGGAAAAACACATGTACTTTTCGTACTTGGAGAAAGTTTAATGTGCTAAATTTGGCAACTAAAAGGCAACATTTAATATAACAATTTTTGCCTTTGCTTCTAATCACATTTGTCAATCATAGTGTTGTGCAGGTTTGGTTATTTTGACTTGGAAAATGGTTTTTGATTCTCGTGCTAAAAGACAATAGTAGCCATTATTTATAAAAAGCAAATTACCCAAAATATTTTAACTGATCAAATGATTTTTTTCCTGATTTAATAAATTTTCAGAACATGTTTAATTCTCGATCAACACTGCCTCCAACAAGTGCAAGCGTCAATCCGTCGACTGCAGTATAACTCACGGTTCTGGTGGTGGGCGGGGCTGAGGGGCTGGTGAGAGAGACCATTTCCTGGATGGCCAGGCGGAGTTTGAGCCTGTGCAGAGGGTTACTGATTCCGATCTCTCTCTGGATCTCTGTGTCAGAAAGGGCCGACATGATGGCGCCGCTCTTCACGTTGGCGCGGCATGCTGCCACGTACCAGGCTGGCATTCCTAACCACAGCTTCATCACACAGAGGAAACAGAGACTTTAACCAGCTTTGCAACTTTGAACTCCATGAATGTGATCAGCCTGACCCTTAACATACTGTATATCATTATTGTACTCTAGGTGAGTTTTTCCTGGGCAATTCTATCCCCAAAAAGAATCAGTACATCGTTTCATAGCTTGTCCACATTGCCATAACTACAATTGACTGGAGGGATTTAGCACTTGTTATCTGTCAGCTTTAAAAATGCGTAATGCTACAAAACGCTACTTGTCAACAGCTCAAACATACCCATCAGCCTCAATAATCCCATTTGAGGCTGTCGTCATATGTTACATGGAGCTTGGAGAGGTGAACAGACTGACTGCTTGAACTTATTTTATACAATATACAATACTAGATATGAAGTACTTAAAATTATACCTAGAAGAAGTGTCATAGCTGCATAAGTACAGCTCTTGGGTCTTGGTATGATTCACATTTGAGATCTGCTACATACAAATAAAGAATGATCATTTACCTCCAACCAGGCTACAACTGTAGGGCCGTCCCATTGAGCGAAGGGTAAACCTTTCCTCCTGGCCTCCTCCAAAAGCTCATGTCTGAGGACAGGGACAGAAGAGAGCTGGTGTGAACATTTCCATTTGTACCATGTGTCTTAAAACAGATATTTGATCAGTTTCATATACACGACTTCACGCACTCTTACAAAATCCCTGCAGAAACGTTGCCGTTTTGTGTGGGTGTGACAATTTTCACAAAAATTTATTTTTTACAGCACACGTTAAAGGCAATTCTTTATTTTTTCCTATGCTAACACAGTGGAGCAGACTGAATTTTACTGGAGTAAATAATTTGATTTATGGTCCAACTTTCCTAAAAAAAAAAAATCACTTAACTGTACATGAGTAATTCTTGAATTTGCTTTTGTGTAGGGATGCACAATATTATCAGCATGGTATGGTATCGGTTTCGGCCGATATTAGCGTTAAAGTTCAATATCGGACGTTCCATCAGAATAACTCACCGATATAAAAGACGCTGTTATTGTATGACAACCCAGTGACAAGGATGCCTGCAGCGCCAGCACAACGTAATGACATCACGCACGCCTACCTGATCTCACGGCGGAAAAGAAAATTCAAAATAATGGCGGTGTGGAAGTTCTTTTTATTCATTGGTGAAGATGTCAAATTCCGAATATTTTTGGACTACGTTGAGCCTCGATACATCGTCCCCAGGCTGAGATATTTTTCCAATGTTACCTTACTCGAGTTACAAGCCGTCATTTCCGACGTCGTTGAGAAGCTAATAGCCGATAGCGCTTGGGTTAGTTTTACCACAGACATTTGGACGTCATGTTAGCACCGTTAGCATGATTAGTCTTATGGCACAATGAATAGACAAAAACTTTGAACTTAAAAAGTCTGTCCTTCATGCACAAGAGTGCAGAGGATCCCACACTGCAGCTAGGAACCTGGAACAACCTCCACAAGTGAGACAGCATCGCAGGTGACTAATGCCAATAAATACTATTTAACACTTTTCATTTAATATAAGTTAAAATGCTATGCATATCATATGGCTGTTACTGAATATATGTCACCAGCTCTTGCAGCTGTTGCACAATTTTTGTAGCAAATAAGCCTAAATAAGAGAGAAGGCTATGTTCTGACAAACGAAAGTATACAAAATATTAGTATCAGATATCGGCCAAAAAAAATCCAATATCGTGCATCCCTATTTTTGTGTAATCCATTTAGAGGACTGTGTTTCATTGGAAGAGTCACACAAATGAATGTGCCGAGAGTGAACACACATCCACCTGGATGGTAGTTTGCTGCAGTAGCTGCTCAGTGAAGCTGGACACCACACTGCTAATCTAAGCATGATTACACAACTCACCCCATTTCAGCCACTCACACATCATCCTGCTGATACACAACCTGAACCATTTGTTTTGTACTCCTACACAGTATTAATCAGCCAAAAAGTGCGTTTCCAATGCATTCTTGCTCACACCCACACACAGAAAACTGGTTATTTTCTGTTTTGTGAACACATTTCATAAAAATAAAATTAACAACCCATTCCTTGAGTGCTTTGTCAGACAACCTGAAGGAGCGGGCTTAGAACTAAACATGACAAGTGAAGGCCTCAGAACAGTGAACGGGCACTTAAACAGCATACGTGGCAAAGAAAAGCCTACAGATGATAGAAGAAATGTGTTCATTCGTTTACAACCAGGTACGCTCGCTGTCTTTATTTATTCAGCACATGGGGGAGATAACTCATGTTTGAATGCATGGAGAAATACATCCATTGAACAAAGCTGGGGAAAGGGAAGTAAGGAAAAAAGTTATGACAAATCGTACAAACTAAAATAACCTTTAACACTCCCATAACCAGATATCGCAGCTGGTCATTTCACACAAAAATATATGAACGTACATAAATATATATATAAGTAAACAGAAAAAGAGAGGCGATATTCTGGGCATGAAATTTAGGCCCCAGATTTAGCGGCGGCACAGTCTCAGTCCAGCCGTTGACGCAGTTGCTATCGAACTGTAAAAAATAAAAGGGGCGGGGTTTCAAGAAACATCCTTATATGGTAAATGAAAAAGTAAAGGAAGAAAGCAATGGCTTTATTAACAGCCATAAAGGATAGACAGAAAAGAGACGTCAGCTTTGGCACTGGTCTTTCAGGACATGGCGGACACGCAGGAGAGATGGCAGACAGGGCAAAATGGCTGAGACAATGGTCATATCCAGGAGGTCAGTTCAACGTCCTCACAACTTACCCGCTTCGTTAGAGTCAGAGGATGATGAGAGGGAGAGGAAGGGTCAGAGAGGAAAGAGTAGGAGAGCAAAAGAAGAGAGAAAGAGAGCGACGGGGAGACAAAAGTGTACAAATGTTAATGAGTTCATAAGAAATTAACAATACGGCTCCAAACGAACACACATGCACACACCCACTCACACACGTATAACTCACGATGGAGTACAATCACTGACAGGAGCATCTGTAGACCAGTGAAAGAAAAGGTCGTCTTCTACAATGCAGTCTTGACCACATCTCGTGCAGCAGAAGGAATGAAAACAAGGCTCCCCACTTCCATGGCCTTACATTCAAATGCTCGGTTACATTCAGATACGTGTTAGTTTTTGAAAGGAAACCAGAAACGTCTTCTACAATGAGATCACAGCGCGTCTGATTGACCAAGATGCTGAAATGGAAATAGTGCAGGCAGCTTGATGGCATGCAACGTGGAGCGAGGCGCCAAGATGCAAGGTGGTGCGGCCTGAATCCTGGACACTGCTACGAAGAAGTCAGCGCAGTGGGAGGAAAACGGCACGTTTGTCGACATACAACAAACACGTTATATTGACCGACATGGGAAGCAAAGTTATTCATCATGACAAGTCAATGAGCACTTCGAGCAAATGACGGTCATCATTTGGCACTGGGAGCATGGCAAATGCACATACATACAAGCACACACCGACTATGCAACACTTCTGTAAAAATGTGATTTTTGAGAGGGTGCCTTTATTCTGAAGGGCACCCAATGTGAGCGTGTGAGTGTAATCTACAAGCAGTGTGTTGGGAGAGCCGTCTGCAGCTTCCAATTTGATAAAAGCACTTCTGTGGGATTAATTGGCTTTTCAGGCTGGATCAATAGTCTGACTTTGGCTCCATGTCTGAATGCAGCGACTGATATCCGCTCCTGGACACTGATCCAGCTTCTGCTTTCTATCGATCCCGTTCTCGGCGTGGGATTTAGCATTACGTACAGCACAGAGGGAGAGGATGAAGTAAACACAGTAGACGGAGCCTGTATCCATTGTCTGTGTTTCACAGCTCAGAATAGATAGCATAATGTAGCAGTGAGTGTAAGTTCAGCTGAAACTCGTGGTAACTTGTGAGGTGGTTCCTGGATTAAAGCTTACTTCTTTTTCAACCTGCGATCCTTCTCAGCCTGAGTTCCCAACTTGCCAACCCCCATGTCCTGACCCGACATGTCTTGGTCCATCATTGTAGCTGAAGAAGGGACAAGACAACCGGAATTTATTAACAAAAAAACAAATCAGTTTAAAATATAAAGTACCTCTTCATTAAGTCAAGAACTTGTTTATATATCAACGTGCTTTAAATAAATTTTTTAATTAGGTTTTCATGTATTTCAATTTAAGAGCAGAAAAAGCATTTTATATTGGGGGTACCACTTAATGTTTAGTTTTGAAATTAAAAATATTGACTAAATCATTTCCAATTATTTAAAATCTACCATGAATTTGATGCATTTGATGAAATTTTTAGCACAATAATGTCTGTTAAGCAGCGCTTTACTAATAGCCATTGGGCTTACTCACATTTCCAGTTTTGTTTTTATGAACTATTTAAATTGTTTTTTTTCTAATGAAGTTTAGAAAATAAACAGTTTGATTTGGACAATTCAGACATCAATTGTTGCTGGTTTTATACCTCTGCTATTTTTATATTATGTTGTTTTATGTCCTGTGTGACTCCTTGTGTATGTCCCTTTGTATTGAAACTCTGGCACAACAATTTCCTGCGGGATCAGTAAAGTTCTATCTTGTCAGAAAAGTTCTACACATCAGATAAATGTATTTAACGGATTAATTCAGCCATTTTTACACAAACAGCTGAAATTTGGTGAGCTTATAGCTGATAACATTCCCTATCACATATTGAATCCAAATCAAAAATCCAAGATGGCCGCCTTAGCTAACAAGAAAAAAAAAAATTAACTCGGCCATTTTTAGAGCTAGTCATTCGAAATGTGGCGTTTTGGTAGCTGAGAATGATCCCTAAAAGACTAACTGAAAATCAAAAATCCAAGATGGCCACCTTCGCTATAAATACAAAAATATGATCACTCAGGCGTTTTTAGAGCTATTCAGCTGTAATTTGGTATAATAGTAGCTGAGAGCAAACCCCAACACATAGTACGGTCAAATCAAATTATTTAATCAGCAGCAGCATGGCAGTGCGTCAAAATTTCTCCAGGAACTGTCTCGTCTTATGTCATCTTACCTTAACTGACCTCTAGGAATATTTGTGGTTTAATAGTAAAATGTTTGAGACGTCATTTGAGTGACTTTCTATAAAGAGAAAAAATAAATGCTTGAAATCAATCATTAGTTAACATCCTCTGATAATTTGTTTTTAGCTTTACAAGGCATGTCTATAATCTTATATCGTGAGGAAAACGTGTGTGTAAATACATTTCCGGTGTCTGTCAAATATGCCCTTAGTAAATGTACATGACAATGTACAGGGCAGCGCTTCACACAGAGCTGCAGCCTCCGTGCATTTCCATCTACCCTTTGGACGGCTGCACTGGAATGCATTTTTGCAGCACTTAACTGTGCAATGACACTAAAGTTAATTCTGATTCTGATGAAGATATGCCTAAATGATTTGTGTTTTAAGGAAAATAAAATATCCCAAACATGTTTTCATCCCATAAACTATCAAACAAGTCAAGTCTTATTGCAGATTTAAGCCTGAATAGCTTAAACTTTTCCAAATATGTACTGATAATTTAAAATTATGATTTGGAAGTAGCCTGTATGTGCACAAAGTCATCCTGGTGTTATCGGAGCTGAAGCAGAGATGCTACTGTATATGGAAATAATGCCACGACTTCTGATTTTCTATAACTTTCCATTTTGAACTTAAGATGACTAAATTAATCAAAATATCAGCTATTTATAATAAACCAACAGTCATCAAAGCAGCACTTACCTTGTGGATCGACCATGACCTGTCTGTGTGCTAAATGAGCCAGTCGGCCCTTCTCTTTTTTGCCAAACAGCCGTCCGATGGAGGATTTGATCCCCTTTTTCTTCGGCTGCTTGTGCAGGGAGTCTTGGCTGCTGGTTACACTACTTAAAGCACTAGCTTCAGCCTCCAGTGAAGCCACGATCCTGATCACAGAAATAAACAGACAATATCCAGACTTTTCAGCAGAATGTTTCTGTAAATTTTGTTCATGTTTATTTGCTGATTTTGCACAAGTGATTTATGGCAGTTATGCTAGTTTCATTTTTTTTAATCCATAACTAGTGTTGCTGCATGCGCTTTAATGTTTTGGAATAGTGCCCAGAAAATGAGCTGAAGCGTTCAGACCTAAATGAAAAAAAGTCTAACTCATGCAGTATTTAGCCAAAGCATGAAGTGGTTGAGCATAATCTAAAAACTAGTAACGTTTGCACTCAAAACCAGATGAAAAACTATCATTTAGCACAAAATAAACACATTACCGTAATTTGCGCTGTATAAGTCGCAGTTTTTTGCATAAATTAGCATGTCTGTGACTTATACAGCGATGCGACATTTATGTTTATTCCCCCCATGTTTATAACCCAATTTTTTGCTGAGATCTGACGATTTCATTCATTCTGACATGGAAAATATTGAACACTACCATTTTCAGCCACTACAGGGCGATCTACTATTATGGCAAGCCAGGTGTATCATTAATAGGTAAAAATGGCTATTAATGAGACACTTGGCTTGCCATATAAAGCCACCTTTGTCTCGCTCTGAAACTCCTTGAGCAAACATCAAATCAGCTGCATTTTGCCGCTCCACCCAGACAAAATGCAGCTGATTTGACCATTAAGGTGTATTTATCAAGGAAAAGTTCAACTGAGACACACCTTTACTATAATGTCGAGCTAACAAATAACTGTTTTTAAGTGTTGATCTTGTTAAAATTCTTGTTAAAGCCCTCCCGTGCACGCTCCCGCGGCCGCCATTTGGCAGCCAATTGATTTTTAGCACAACACCGGCCCACATTTCTGGGTCGTCATCGGTGACGCATAACAGATGCGACGTATACGGTGAAGCGACTTATGTTTTTTTTTTTACTTTATTAGACGTTTTTGGACTGATGCAACTTATACGGCAGCAAGTACGGTAATGAGATTTTATTAGTTTTAAAAAATAGAGCTTTTTTGCATGTGTGATTAGTTGAGCAGAAACATACCCTCGTGCATCGTTGTGCGAGGAGGCTGGCAGTGTGTGTGTCATTCGTACGGTACGTGGCGTTGGAGGGGGCGATGTCTCGCACTTAATGGTGGCCTTGTCCTCTCGCCCGTCCTCGTCCACTGCTGCTATCTGAGGGACGAGGATTGGGGGGGTGGGGGGCATTAATCAATACTTTGAATATTGGTAAGTCAATGATTTGTTCCTTGCATCATCACAGCGACCACCGAACTGAATTTATGGGACATTGTGGCAAAGCTATATGGATACTGGGTGTACCTTTCTCCTGTGTTTCCTCAGATCACTGGGCTGCAGCGGAGAAGAAAAGGAAGCGTTAAAACACGAACCAAAAAACACAAGCATGTTGCTGATTAAACAAAATTCAGATAAATGTATGACGACAAGGCTAAAATGATTTTAAAGACTAATTTTAAAAGGTCAAAAATGCTTTTGTCCCCTTCCTCTTTTTGCAGTTTCTTGCCTACTAAAAAAATCTTAAATTACTTTACAATCCTTGCTTGTTCTTTTCTGTAGAGCTTTATTTCTTTGTGAATAACTATTAGAAATCTTTCATTTAAACTAAAATCTTGATTTGTTTTAAATGCCTAGAGAAAATATAAAACTACTTCTACTTTTTTTTTTTGGTAAGGACATATTTTAAATTATGTTTTTTGGGGGATTTTTTCCAATCAACACAATAGTTTTAAAGATTGCCAGTATCCAGCGTGAACCACTTCACACATGGCAGTACACGTCTCAATCAAGAGTTGGCACAAGCACACTGTAAAATTAGACATTGGTAAAGCTGTGTTGTTGTTTTTCCTCCTATGGGCACATTTTACTTCGTCAAATCCCCCAAAAATGACATCACAATCTTTATCCAGGCAGAATAAGCAGAAAAAGAAGATTTCCAGGCATAAATTAGCTCATTGCTAAAATCGTGGGAAAATAAAATTCAGTAATGAGGTGTGAAGTGAGGTGCCATATATAATGAGTTTAGCTGGCATTTCCGGTGACACGGTGGCTCAGTTGGTACAGCGATTGCCTCAGCGAAAAGGTAATCAGATCGAATCCCAGCTGGAGGCCTTTCTTTTTTCTCACAGCTGATGATGTGTGCGTGAAACCAAAAGATTAACGCCATCTTACCAGAGTCATCACTCCCATGCGCTCCATGTCGCGGGCGGGGCTTCGAGGGTCCAATTTAGGGGTGGAGTGCCCGCTGGGCGGGGAAGACGAAGCCAACGAGGAGGCGGTGGCCGAGGCAGTGATGGAGGCACCGTGGTGGTGCATACGAGCTAGGTTAAGACCCTCCAGGCTGACGCTGGCCACCCGGTTCTCAATTTCCTCCGCTCGCAGCTCCGTCGACTCCTTCTCTTCCTGTATCAACCTAAGAGGCAAAAGTTTTGTTTTCATAGTAGACTTGACGTTACGTTTTTATACTTTAAAATGACACAAAAAAGCAAATATGACTGCCAAATTATTTGTAATCTTATTATGAGCCAAGGAGGTGGATTTCTACAGATTTAACAATCTAAATACCTAAAGTTTGAGGCAAACTAATTAAATGCTCAAAGTACGATAATCCATTTTAACTACGTCCGGGATCTAGCTCTGTATTTGGCTGGGAGCTGAACTCCTAGGATTCCGGATCACGATGAGCAGTCAGTAAAATAAATGTTCGTGAAAGCGACGCAGCTCTGTTTCTTTTGGAGGCGATGCAAATTAGCCGAGAGACGAACGCTCATCGACGGTCCTTGAAGTAGAAGTGAAGCTGCGCCTGGGGTTATGAATACTGATCAGCACATGGTAATTACAGCTGGAAGAAGCAAAAGGCAGATTGCACTTCTCAAAACAGAGCGCATGCAACAGTTTGGATCACAGGTGGAAAAAAAAAAAACACCAAATGCAACAATTCATACGACCTCCAAAAGGGTTGATTTCTAGGAGGGGGAAAAAAATGATGGAAAACTGTGCTGCAAAGGAATATTTGATCCATTTTTATTATTTTATCTGGTAAAAAGAATAAATATAGCATTGCTAATTTATTAAAATAATGACTTTGCAATGTGGTATCAAACGGATACTTGTGTAAATAACTTAACCCGTTGTACAGATGTGTTTTCAGTACCTAATCTCCTTGTTGATGGCGTCCAGCTGCTCCTGCAGCATCATGGCCAGAGTTTGTGCATCGGAGTGGCCGCTGGGGGAGAGCAGGTCCATGGAGCTGAACAGCGTTTCCCTGTCGTCGTCGTCGATGTCGGACATCTCCGTGTCGCTCTCAAAGTGGTGACCCCCCAGGACCCCTAACTGCTGAGAGCGCCACTCGTGCTCGCCCAGGGATTTGGCCTGCACAAATAAATAAAAAAATTCTCCATGCAACTAATGGTGTAATGTTATTTTGAGTTTTTATCAGAGGTGTCAAACTTACAAAATGGGGCATAAATTTAAAACTTAGTTCAAATTAAAAGCCAATTTCAGAAACTAACTCGTCAGGTACCCCAAATCTTCTTGGTCACAGGTTCCTCAACAAGCGTTAGTGCGCTCTCATCTGAGGTTCTCCGTTGCACTTTTCACATCATAATCAAAGATGACCAAGATATTAAAGTGATAAAAGTATTTTACGTTTAACATAGCATCTTGGGGGCCAGAGAAAATGTCAACGAGGGCCACATTTGGCCCCTGGGCCTTGAGTTTGACACGTGTTTTAGTTTATTTAGCAAAGGAATTATTATTATTTTTTAATCTCAAGAGGGTTTACTCAATCTAAATTGTTATTTTGGCAGATCTTCTGAACCAATAGATATCCGTTTGTCTCCTTGTTTAGCATACTTATGTATAGAACGCCATATTGTATGTGGAATCCAACAATAAATGTATTAAATAAATGTGTTTTCTGGTAAAAAATAAAATAAATAAATAAATAAAAAATAAATAGCAAGGACTCCTCTATGGCTTTAATAAAAAGAAACTGATCTCAGTTCAGGGATTAAATAAACTGTAAAAAGTCCAAATCTTGAGTACACCATGAGTCTGATTTATGCACCGCACTGGTCAGTAAAATCTGTTTTTGAATGCGTTTTAAACCTTTCCCCCCCCTTTTTTTTTTTTTTTTTTTACAATTTAGCTTTATTTGCTATAAAACATGCATTTAGATTTCTAAGGTAATTTTAGCCATCTTAATAAAAGTAATTTTAATGTAAAATTATTCACATTTTTTTTTTTCCTTTTCTCAACTGACCTAAATAAACAGAATCATAAGAATACATTTTAGTTCATTAACCTGTGGCCTGCATAATAATACTAAATGAATGCTAATTTAAAAATCTGTTCAGCATCATCACAGCACTCAACACAAGCACAGAACTGAATCAGCTCTTTCCACCAGAACAATCACCTGTTTCAACAATAAGCAAAGACCATCACCTTAAACACATAAAGCAGATTAAATTGGGTCGGTCATAAGACTAAACCAATATTTGATTATTATAAATTAAGATCAGCACTTTCCAGTAATTATGCCAATTTATGAAGTAGATTTTCAATATTTAATCATTTATATCCTTAAAATAGTCCCTGCAAACACAAGCTCTACTTTAAAGTTGATTCCTGAAGTTGTTTGACTTTAATGCTTTGATTGTGTTGAGTCAAACAGCTGCTGAAGAAGAAGCCCACCTTGGCCAACGTTTATTAAAATGTTCTCATGCAACTAACCAGTTGCAGGTGAATTACTCAGCAGGCACCGGAGCCTCACCTTTGTTTCATGCAGGCCCACTCGACCTCGCCTCGGCCGGCGGATGACTTTAGCCGAGCGGTAATGGTCCGACTGGGTTTCAGCCAGAGATCCCAGAGAGAATCGAAGCTCGCCTGATGTGTCAAGATGAGACCTAAAACGAACGTCGTCCAAGCTTTAGCCACATACTCAGCATGGAAACAATGAAACAGATTATTTGTCACGTTTTTTTCAAGCTGATTAACATCTGAACCTGTTCAAACCTCCCTGAAGAAGAATGTTTATACACAGCCAGGTAGATCATGAAAAAAAAAAAAAATGAGGCACCAAAATACATAAACCAATCTGAAGTTACTTGAAGCATATCTAACCGTCATGGTTGTGTGGTGAACACAATTTATGCACGCTTCTGTGCCGGTAAACAATCTTTGAATGGCATTAGGACATGAGCAATATGCAGCATAAAAATTGAAGACAGAAATTAGATCTTAAGATGTTAGTGATCAAATGTTTCCAGTGTTGTAGTAGAGGCAAAATGGCAAAAATACTGATAATTTGACTTTGGACGTTCAGACGTTTTTCCTTTCTGATTTTCACTCACACCAGAGAGTACAGTTTAGTCGCTTTTAGTCTCAATACGTTTCGTGATGGAGCTCGAGTTTGTTTTATGCATTAATACTTTAAAACTCCAAAATCTATTGCGTTGGAGGCCTTCATTTACCAGGCAAGCCGCTATGATCGGAGATATCCTGATTCAAGGCAGTGCGCTCCCAAATACCAAACATCTAAACCAGGGGTCTGCAATATGTGGCTCTGGAACCACATTCGGCTCTTTAGTCTCTCATCTGTGGCCCTCTGAAGCTTTGACCAACACTAATGTGATAATTTGATTTATTTTTACACCCACGACTGAAAATGCTTGTTTTTCCACTTGAAAATGCAGTTTTCTTTCAATTTCATGTACATTTGTGAAGGATACTACTAATACAAGGAGAGAAACATTGATTACATTTAGCTACTTCATTTATCCAACCTACAGGCTTACAGTGGGCTCTTTCTCTCAAAAAATAAAAAAAAGTACAAGAGCAACTTGTCCAGCAAATTGACAATTTTTTTCTGTGCGTTTTAAATTTACGTTTTATTACTTTAAAGCGGTATACCTAATTTTAAATCGGATAAAAAGACTTGCTGCAGAGACTCAGTATAAACACTTTTGGTCTTTCCTTTTGCTCTAAAAAGTAAAAGTATCAATAAATGTAAAAATTATGTATATACTTTTAGTTTTTTTATCACCTCAACTGACCAGAAAAGTCCTCCATCAACCTCCAAGTGACCCACGGGCCACCTGTTGTTAAGCAGGTTTTGCGGCTTTAGACACGTTTTTAGTGAGCGAAGTGGCAGAAATCGATCAAAAAAAGTTGCAGACCCCCGATATAAACTCAAATTTTTTTTTGTCTGAGAAGCACCAGCCTGGAGAGATTTTAACAAATTCATTACATTCAATGTCCCAAGAAAATGTGTAAACAAAGCTCTACATCTGATTAAACCTTCAAATAATTAATGTTGCTAAACTGTTTTACTGCATTGACAGGGTTATATTTGGTTTTTATGACTGTCTTGCAGTAAAGAACGGGCACCAAAGCCAGGCTGAGTACATTCCTCTTAGCTACTGTAACTGGCCATGGACAATTAACCATTTATAACTTTTTGACAACAAATGCGAAAGGAACAAGCGTGCACAGAAGTAATATTGCTACGTTTAGCTAGTTTTGAAGATCAACAAGTGGCTTATTCTTGCGTAGACTCGTGCACACAGCCAACCTACCGTGAAAGAGTGGGTTCTGTGAGGGAGCCTGCCCTCAATCTGTACTGGTCGAGCTCTGATCTCAGTTTCTCAATCTCCTCTGCCAGCTGCGACTGGATAAAACAATTTGACAGCAAAGTTAATAGGTTTGTCTGGGATATTATATGCTCCGGGGAAAATCACACCAGTACATCATAACTGTGGCAGCTCTAAGAAAAATAAAATAAAATAAAAAAGGAAGCCTGAATCCTCATGGAGGATTTTATTTCTAACTAGAAACATTGCATTTCTTGCTAAAATGCAGCGAGGATGCTTATTGCTGAAGAATTTGCCAAAAAAAAAAAAAAAAAAAAATACTGAAATCAGCTTAAAAAAAAGCTAAAATTAGCAAATAGCTGAAAAGTAGCTGAAAAAGCAGAAAGAAGTTTAAACTAGCAGAAAAAAATAGGAAAGGAGTAGAAATAAGTTAGATATATGCTAAACGTAGCATAAATTACCACAGAAAACTTGAATTTATCTGAAAATGCTGAAATTGGAAATAAAAAAAAAGCTGAAAAGGTAGCTGAAACGTTAGAACAAGCCTAAAGTAGCAGAAAAAAGCAGAAAGAACATGTCTGAAATTTGCACGAAGAAAAAACAACCCCAGTTGAATAGTAGCTAAAGAAGGAGAAATAAGCCTAAATTACCAGGAGAAAGTAGAGAGAGCACAATTGTGCCCAGTTGGGTTTAAAGTAGCAGAAATGAGCACAAAAAAGTGGAAGATAGCTGAAAAAAGTAAAAAGTTGAAAAGTAGCTAAAGAAGCAGAAAGTAGCTTAAATTAGCAGAAGGAAATGGAGAGAGCCCCATTGTGCCCAAATGGGCTGAAAAAGCAGAAATCAGCACAAAAATGTGGAAATTATGTGAAAAAAGCTGAAATAAGAAAGAAAACAGTTGAAAAGTAGCTAAAAAGGCAGAAAGAAGCTTAAATTAGCAGAAGGAAGTGGTGAGAGCAGATTTTTTGCCCAGTTAGGCTGAAAGAAGCACAGAAAAGTAGAAATTATCTTAAAGCTGAAATAAGCAAACAGCTGAAAAGTAGCTAAAATAATGGGAGAGCACACATTTTTGCTGAATTAGGCTGAAAAAGTTAAAATGCGTGCAAAAAATGTGGAATTAGCTGAAAATGCTCCAATTACTATAAAAACAGCTAAATAGTAGTTGAAATAGCAGCAAATGCTGAAACTTACTGAAATAAGCTGAAATTAGAACAAGGTGCAATTAACAGAAAGACATTTGAAGCACAAAAATGTTGTAGTTAGCAGAAAGAATCTGAAAGGAGCACAAAACAGCAGAAAGTAGCTAAAAAAAGTTTCTATTTGCACAAGGAAGCTGAAAGAAGCTGAAGCAGAACAAAATGTGAAAGGAGCAGCAAAAGGTTGTAAACACATCTAAAGATTTGAAGGATGTAAAATGAGCTCCGTTCATTTCCTACCAGGAAAAAAAAAAAGACAGAAAAGGCTAAATATTTCAAAAAGCTAAAGTTGCACCAATATCAAAAGTCATGGCAGCCTTCTCCTGAATGAGCTGAACGTTTTGATACATGATTTATGAAATAGCTTGAAAACTGAGGGACGAGAAAGATGCGTACGGTAGAAAAATGGATCACGATAGTGTGAATGCTTCATAAACATTCACACTATGACTATTTCTGGAAAAAAAAAATCTTACAGCAGAGGCTTATACATATTCAACAGTAGATTTATTAAAAATGTTATTCTACCAACAACACTGTTTATTTAGTAATTTTTATCCAGGCTGCCTCATGTAAAATGTATAAAGTTTTGAAATGAACGTAGTAATAATTTCTCAATCTGTGCAACCTACTTTATCATGGAGTGACTCTTCGTACTGTTTTCTGTAGCCTTCCGAGTCTTGTATTAACATGTTCTGCAAAACAGAGAGGAAAAGGCAGAACTCAGAAGATCCTCCAGACTTTTAATGAACAGATGAGTTCCCAACTTGATGATAATCATCTGCAACCTTCTCCTCTAGAGCTGCCATCCTCTCCTTCAGGTGGAGCTGAAGACGCTCGTTGGACTCCGTCAGGAGTCTGTCCACGGTGTCCGAGAGGCGCTTGTTGTGCTCTTCATTCATCTTCTCTCTTTGTCGAGCCTGGAGGGAAGAAAAAAAAAAAACCCATGAACTTAAAAACAAGGCAACAAGTCATTTAAAACAGTGGTCCCCAACTTTTTTTGCACCATGGACCGGTTTAACGTCATAATATTTTCACGGACCGGGGGTCCAGGGGTCCTCCCCCAGAGAATTCTGAATAAAGTAGATTACATTTCCTGCATTCTGGTGTATTTTACAAAGGTTTATTACAGTAGATTAACATGAAACAAAATGTAAACTCAATGAAATCTCTATGACTGGTAAGGGGCGTTCCATTCAGGATGAATCGAGGTCACCGATTGGTCGTTTGCTGAAGTGCCTACTGGATTGATTGACAGGTGGGTCGAGGATCCGACTACTGCAAAAAAAATAAAAATAAATCATGGATTTTAATGACTGTCATCATTTAGTCCATATTTATTCAATATGTATTCAATATTTTGATGAATCTAAGGTTTGAGAACCAAGACTGAGTTTCCTTACACGTTAATGATGGTTTCTTAATTTTCAGGGGTGCAGAGTTAAAATTTAGGGGCGCTTGAGCACCCCCAAAAAGAGGATAAAATCATCACTGAAGCTGGTTCATATTTATAATTTACTTTTAAATGCGTTATTTATTTAGTTTATTTATTCATTCATTTTCCTGTATGGCCTGGTACCAATTGACCCACGGACCGGTACCGGTCCACGGCTCGGGGGTTGGGGACCACTGATTTAAAATATTCCTGGGATGCTACTGCCTACCCTGAAGTATTAATACACACAGTACAGTCTAACGAAAAATTAATAACTGCATATTGTACTAAAATAAGTCAGTAAACAGTAATTATATGGTCTTATTGTATTCATTGTCAATGTCTTTGTTAAAAAAGTATCAGCAGTTGTAATATTACCCTATATAAATATTTCAACATTTATGGTAAAACTAATACAAAAAAGTTTTAATTAATCATGCACATTTTGGCGTAACAAATATTTAATGCATTGATTCTGTAACTAATTCAACACCAGTTTTAAAAGTTTTCATATTAAAAAGTATCTTAAATGTTTATGTTTTATATAACTATTACTTTACATATTAATTTTATGTTGTTCATGCAAACGTTGCACATGCAAGATAAAAAACACTTAGTTATGTTTACACAATTACACTATTTACAATAAACTATATCTTAAGTGTTATTCCTTTGTTTTGCAAATGAACATTTATTCAGTTTCAAGCTGCAAGTTTTCCCCTCAACTCATGCATTTTAAGGTTTTCCTCAAAACACAACTTTTGATCATTTCCCATTTTGATGCTTTAATAGTTTGCTTCCTTCCATCCATCCCGTTTTATTTTTCATCTGCCAACTGTTTGTTATGCAGCAGTTCTGTCTGTGTAATAATTATGGTTGCCTCCAACCAGTTGATTAAACTGGGAAATGTAATTATCAAAAACACATTTAAAAGGTCACAAACATATAAAAAAAAAAACAATACCCACTTTAAAATTTTAACCAAAAAAAAAAATGTTTTGACCTTTAAAGTTAATCATTTGAGTTTCTGTTGAAATATAAACAATCACAAATCAAATTCACAACAGTAGATGAGAAAACAGATAAGTGCGGCACGGTGTATGGAAATATCATCAAAGCCATGCAGAGAGTGGTGAAGGCTGCACAGAAGTCCTTTGGAGTCAGCTTCCTCCACCATCATAGACATCTGCACCTCCAGATGTAGAGGACCACCTGCATCATGAAGGACCCCACTCACCCAGCACACACTTTTTGCCCCGCTCCCCTCTGGAAGGAGGTTAAGGAGCATTAAGTGTAGAACCACTAGACTGCGGAACCGCTTCTACCCTGAAGCTGTTAGACTCATGAATATCTAACAAGGATAATCACTGAAAAAAATCACAGTAATGCCACTTGATTGTTGATATGTGCTGCTGCTATGTGCATGCTGCTGATCTCATGTTGCTGATTATTTTATGCTGCTGATTATCTCATGCTGCTGTATTCATTCGAACCCATCTGCTCACCACAGACGAATGTTCGGGCTGCTGTTCTTACACCGTATTGTTTTGCGTTATTAGTGTTTACTAGAGTATATCTTAGATCTTTGCATACTTTCTTTTTATACTTTATATTTAGCTATTTTTGGGTGTAACTGTGACCCTGTGTACATAATTTCGTTCCAGCACATGTGATGAGAATAACAATAAAACTGACTTGATTGATTTGACAAAGTGCAAAATATAAATATGCAATAAATCAAAGATGCACTGACAGCTTGCCAATTATGTGTTTGGAAAAAAATGCTGCAAAATTGTCCCCGTGGTAGTAGCTAAAACGCTAAAGCCCATCAATAATAATGCAAACAGGATTTTCTAATACCAAGCAGCTTTTATTTAAGCCAACTTTTTGGTTTTACTTTATACATTTCTTTTTTCTGCTAGATGGCTTTCCATCATTAATGTTTTCTTGCCTCCAAATACGAGGAATAAGAAGTCTTAACATTGTAACTGGCTGTCTAACAACAGCAAAACGAACTGTGTGAAGATGCTTACATAAATCGGAAATGAACAGAACCTGACTAGTGAACCTTTTACAAACCAATTTATCTGCAGAGTGCGTGAGCAGCTCATTTGGTCAAGCTCCACTGGTGATAAACCAGAGAAATGTGCCATCAGTCGTCACATCAAACTGTCAGGCTCGGGCAGATCTGGCTGCCTGGCACGACTCCTCCGCAGTGACTCACCCGGAGCAGTTCCTGGTTTTTCTCCTCCAGCTGGCATTCCAAGTGCCTCATTCGCTCCTCAATGCTGCCGTGACGCTCTTCCGCCTACAGATGGGTTATAGCATAGACAAAAAATAAATAAAAGTCCACATTGATGCACCTGTTTGACAGCCGAAGCAGCAACAGGAAAGCAGTACCAATGGCACAAGCAGAGCCTTTACCCCAAGGATCTATTGTTTTAAAGCATAAATGGAAGAAAAGCCCAACAGGGAGAAGGATAGTTTCTGAAGGACAGAAAAAGAGGAAGAAAGCTTCCCCAGCATAAATGTATGAGCTCCAGCCAGAAGTGCCATGCAGCTGTCCTCAAGTGGTAGAACAGCCAGAGCAGAAACCCGTCAACCCACTCCACCACACAGGAAGAAAAATCTGTTCTCTGCAGAAGTTAGTAGCAGCTGAGATGCCCTGTGGAACTACCTTCCTAAGAATGGAGTTCATGTCTTGGAGTTTAGCTTCCATAAAAAAGTGATAATCATCAGGGGAGGAAGAGGAGCTGGAGTCAGACTATATGACCAAGGAAGAGGAGAGGGACATGTTGAAATGTCAGGGCATGGCATCACACACACACATATAAAACCATTTAGACACAAGGACATGTGTAAGTGTGTGCCTACCTTGGTGAGAGCCGCTATCCTCTGGGCCAGTTCTGCTTCGACCTCGGGCAGCGTCTCAGCCTTCCTCATGGTCTGCTGGAGCTTCTGCTCGGCGAGCTCCAGCCTCTCCTGCAGCTGCCTGTTCTTCTCCTCCATCTGCGCACAGACAGCAGCAACATTAGTCGTTACAATCAGAGTTAGTGTTACGTTAATGCAGTTTCATTTTCAATTTTGGGCCTACGAGTCTGTTCCATTTTATGCCGTTTTGAATATTAAGCAATAAAATCGATTTTTGTTGTGTGAATACAAATTATACGACGGTCAATGTTAAATTCTAACAGCAACTTGCAAATTACACTTATTTTCTGCGCAGTAAAGCGTTTCTAAAATATAATTGTGGCTTCATCTGTTCTAACAAAAAGCAGAAAACCCCAGATGTCCTCTTTAAACTTTAACTTCTTCCTTCTCTCTTTAAAGTCAGCATATTATTGGTTGTTAGAAAGATAGTCATCTTTTGTTGGAGGACTATCTGCTGAAGGATCTGGCAGAGTGCCTCCACTCCTCTTCTAAACAGCACCAGAACGGAGCAGCTTCACATGAGCCAACAGTGACAACAGCAACTTCTCAGCAGATAACCAATATTTACAATGATTAGGCATTTAGATACAACTCAACATTATTAGGAACAAGTCTAAGTGTTCACCAAAGTCCATGCTCAATAATCCAAGTAGGGCTGGACAACAATTCAATATCGATATACCACGATATGCTTTTGTTCAATAACTGATATGAGTTTTAAGCACATTTCAGTATATCGATACATTACAATACTACAATATATTGCGATGCACTGCGATGCACTGCGATGCACTGCGATGCACTGCGATGCACTGCGATCCACTGCGATGCACTGCGATGCACTGCGATGCACTACGATGCACTACAATGAATTACGATACATTGCGATACATTACACTATGATTACAGCATTTCACTGACATTTCTTTTTCTGTTCGGGTTGAATGGCTTGATGGAATATGCTGAGAGTCAGAAGATGAAAAACAATAAAAGTTTGAGTCAACGTGTCCCTGAAACATCACCTCCATCTTTATCAAAAGAGAAACCCATGCAGCATGGGTTAGGTTATGTTGTTGTTTAAAGTTAAAACTATTAATATTGACAAAGTTGAGAGTTTTATGTTTATATGACATTGATTTCAAAACTTGATGAAGACTAAATACAAATAAAAGGTGAACATTAATTTATTTGTACAGTTTCTACAGTTTTTCTGAGGCTTTTATATTGTTTATATCGATATCGGAATTGTATCGTTATCGACCGAAATTAAGAAATATATCATGATAAAAGTTTTGGCTACATCATCCAGCCCTAAATCCAGGTATAAAATCCAACAATGTTCAGTCAGGTCATCTGGATGGTTTCTTTTATTTTTTGTGCTGAGACGTTTCACCCTCCATCCAGAATGCTTCATCAGTCTGAGGAAACACCAAACTATACTGATATTCCCCCAACAACTTACACCAAAGTGGAAACAGTTATGTTGGTGCCAAGATGGCCTTTGGGGCACAGGGCCCTCTCTTCCGGTGCCCGCCCTCTCTTTCATCGACAGACATGTCAAACTGGTTCAAAACACCGAAGTTCATGCCAAGTGTGCTTAGCTTTGTCACTTTTTTTATACTTTCTTTTGTCTTATTTATTACTGATGTTCAGCACTTTGTTTCAGCTGTGGCTGGTGTTAAGTGCTTTATAAATAAAGTTGATGATGATGCTCAATAATCCAGGTATAAAATCCTAAGTCTAAGTGTTGTACCACATATTTCCCTTTCATGTGTTCAGAGTAGTCTTTCTGCTTTTTCTGGAGCTCTGATCAATTTTCAGACTTGTTGTTTTGGGACCTGCTTGGCTATCTTTACTTTTAGTAACAGATGTGCTGATCCCATATGCGCCAAGCCTGGCACTTCAGCGTGCAGCAGTTTGACTGTATGAGCCGAGGTTATGTTGTTTTTTCTGGGGGGCAGTGAGATTTTCTGTCTGAAGTCACATGGTGAGCCCAGCAGGGTTTGAGATGACACTGAAGCAATGTTGGTTTTTGTTTGTGATTTCCTCCCTAGATGCTTTTCTGCCCATATTTTTGGACTTTTTGCTCGCCGGTTCTTCTCACGCCTTCATCTGTTTGTACCCTTTGCCAAGATTTTGGTCCCTGAACACCTCATCTTCAAACGTCAGTGGGAATACTGAAGTTCAGCTGCTGGCAAGACAAGTAACCTCATTGCACAGTGTGTGCGTGCATGCGTGGTAACAGGAGCTCCAAAACTAAACACTTTAGGGTAATTTAGTTCTAATGCGCAAAATATAACAGTATAGGATGACACACACACAGAGACCCAAAATTAAAAAAAATGCAAATGCCTCTCTCCAAGCTAAAACCAATACAACATTTGAATCAAATACAAGACAAGAATTGCAGAAAATAACTTTCAAACACTCACAAAAGAGCACAATTAACAAAAAATATATGTATACAATTTAGATAAAATACAGTTTTTGCAGATCTGAAATTTCTTTAGAGAAAAAAAAAACCTTTGATTGAATAAAAAGACAAAAGCTAAGCAATCTATAATGCAAGTGGGGTAACACCTGCAAACATCCCTCCCTCACCCACTCTCTCCCTCCTTCCCCACACAGGGTCACTGTATATTCCTATTTTTAATGTATTTTACAGCACATTTACTGTCATTATGTAAAGGTCCAAGCAAACTGGAAATATATTTTTTAAAGAAAAAAAATCGGAAGTTAAACGACTGTTACGTTATGTTGTTTATTCGTCATATGAAGGTTAACACAAGGTCAGCAATGCAATGAAATGTTCAGAATGAGAAGAACCGATCTGACTCACTAAAAACAAACAACAAAAAACAAGAAATACTAAAGCATGCAATAAGGGTACAAAAATAAAATAGCAAAAAGAGAAAAAGTAATTATATTTACAAGGTCCAAAAGAAATATAAACAACAGCATGGTAGAATATAACGCTGCAAGTAAGATGAATTTGGATAAATTTGAATGAATGAATGAACTTTATTTAAAAAGGGACAATGCACAACTCAAACACAAATGTCACCATTTGATGCACTGTGCCAGATTATAGCAAAAGCTAATTCACATCTGCAGTCCCTTGTATGTATGTATTTCAAAATGGAAATATAGGCTTAAATGCACATGGTATATATTGTACATAAGTAAAACTACACAGGTTGTGCGACAGGTTATTGCACAGGTAGTGAGTAACATTTGATAACACAAAAAAACTGTGTTTTCTTTATTACTCTTGTGTATTTGTATGCTTCGAAGTCCAGCTGGCGCTTCTTTCTATGCACCTGAAAGAGACTAAATCTCTATGGCCAGTAAAGGTATTATCTATCTATTCACCCATCCAACCATCTTCTACCACTTATCCGTAATTGGGTTGCGGAGGCAACAGGTCCAGGAGAGGAACTCAGACATCTCTCTCCCCAGCGACACTTTTCAGCTTGTTCTGGGGGACCCCAAGGCTAACCGGGGGCCTCCTACCAGTGGGACGTGCCCAGAAAACATCTAAAGGGAGGCGTCCCGGAGGCATCCTAATCAGATAACCGAACCAACTCAACTGACTCCTTTTGATGCGGAGGAGCAGTGGCTCTACTCTGAAATCCACCTGGATGACGGAGCTCCTCACCCTCTCTCTATGGCCGAGCCATCCAACACCTCGTTCTTTCGGGCATGATCCAAACTTTTTGACCATAGTTGAGAGTTGGAACGTAGACAGACTAGTAAATTGCGAGCTTTGCCTTTCAACTCCGCTCTATCTTCACCATGACAGACTGAAGCAATGCCCTCTTTACTAAGGATGAGCCCCCAATCCGTCACTCCATCTCCCGCTCCATCCTACCATCACTCGTGAACAAGACGCTCAGATACTTGAACTCCTCCATATGAGGCAAACACTCTCCCTCGACCCGAAGGAGACATTCTACCCGTTTCTGGTAAAGAACCACGACCTCAAACTTTGAGGAGCTGACTCTCATCACAGCTGCTTCACACTTGGCTGCGAACCGCTCCAGTGCACGTTGAAGGTATTTAAAGGTAAGATAAAGGTATTTAATTAGCTGAAATTAATCCTAGAATCATCAAAAGCAAAATAATTATGAACAACAATTTTAGCAAGAATACACTGGAAATTAACTGAATATGCTCAAATATTTAGGTAAAACCGTTTGAAAAATATGTTTTTAAGTCATTTCCTGTAAAATCTGACAACGTGCAGTCGTTTCTCATTGTCAAACGTCTGAAGCGTCTCAAAGAATATCAATAAATGACTCGAGCAATCTTACCCAAGCATCTGCAGCATTTGTATTTTATTTTTTGAATCAAGTTGGATTGTTAAAAAAAAAGAAAATGCCCTGAATAATTTCAGCTGCCACCTGGAACCAAAGCTCAGTCGTACACCTCAAACCTTCGTTGGAGTTTTACCCACCTGTCTGAGGAAAGCTTCTTTATTGGCCAGCTCGTTCTCCAGTTTGTCGTTGATGTCATGTACGGACGTGGCCTCTCTCTGGGCGCTCAGGTAGCGTTTCTCCAGTGTGACGATCCGCTCCTCCATGTCCTCCTTCTGGCACATGACCTGTATGAAGAAAAAAACAAAATAAGACAAAATACTGCAATGTAGTTGCTAAAGAATTTTATTTAAAAATAGGAATAACTGCAACTTCATTGCAAGTGTCTGTACAAAGGTCATAATGTTCATACAGGTATTGCATTCGTATTGATAAAGTGAATAATCTGCTCTAAAAGCAAAGTACACAAAGAAAACCGACAATGATGCATTATAAAACACAAAGACGCAGCTGTGCTTTTATCTCCCACAGCTGCCATGATTCCCCTTCATTGTAGCATTATCACAGCATCTGCCGGAGTTCATTTCCTGCATGTACAGAAATATTAATACAAGAAAACTTGCGCTAAAGTGGTTCTTTTGAAAGAAAAGAATAAAACTGCTGCTCTCAGATCAGCCAGTGCAGGTTCATAACTCACTGCCCTCCCAGAAAGGATACAATAAATGCGTCAGCTTACATTGTTAGCAATCAATAATCATTTCAACCCAGGGCCATCAGGGCCTCAGCCTATGCACATCAGCAAAGAGTAGGGGATCATGCAGGAACACGCAGCAATACAGAAACAGAGACTTACTTTGACTAAATGGTTATTTTCTTTTTGCAAATGTAGGGCATAGGATTTTTGGTACTTTTGCACATGAAGCGATTGTTAAATTCATATAAATTTGCACATCTATAAGAAATGCATGCAGACAAAGACTAAAGGATGGTGAGCGTATGCAAATGCAAGGCTTTCTAGGCCACTGCAAATCGTCTTTGATGTTTTCTTTGCAGCAGTTTTCCACTTGAAATGTGCTTCACCCCGTCCTATACATGCATGACATGTGTGAGTGCCGTTACTTCTTTGATGTCCCTCTGGTACTTGTTGTTCATCTCCTCCGACTTGATGAGGTCCTTGCGGGCCGTCTCCAGCTCCTGCTCCACCTCAGAGACCCGGGAGGAGAGTGACGACATGCGCTCCTTCATCTGGGCCAGCTCGTAGTTCTGCTTCTCCAGCAGGTCCTGCAGCTCCACCACCTGACTCGCCTCACGGGCCGACTCCAGAGAGCCGTTGGACAGACGCTGCAGGAGAGAGGAGTACATTCAAAATGGAACAAAAGGAGGGATACTTTATGATTTTGTTTGTTTCTGTGAAGCTGTTTTTTTTTTTTTAAAAGAAGATATCCCATTAACATCCTAACCAGCGTTTATTTCCAATAAATCACAAACAAAAAATTATCCAACTCCACAGTTATAGTAGAAGTGAATTGAATTTTTTATGTTTTCCTCCATGTTTCATTGAGTTTCTGTTATTTAGCCTTTTTGTGCAAACTAAAGTCAACACTAACTGTAGTTAGTTTTCTTCCGGCAGCTCGAGTGTTTAATCCATCACTGGTTTTCATTGCATCATTTACATAATGCCTACTTAGAGGCTGGTTTGGACCATCTTAACCAGAAAAATGAGATTCTGCTTGCCTGTACAATATGAGGATGGGCTACATTAAGGCTTACTGTGGTAAACTAAGACAAATTGATCTACTTGGAAATTCATAAAAAAGCAATATGAGCAATGTGGGCCTTTAATGTAAGAAATGTACAGGTTATATCTATATATCTATATATATATATATAATTATTTTTTTGCTTAATCAAAACTAAAATGACAATTTTTTGAACACTGAAGAGAACTTCCTCGAGTGAAGTTCAGCCACTGCAGGTTATAGTAAAATGTGTTGTTCAGCTTTTATGGTGCTAATACAATTTATAAGTTCTATCCTTGCACATCTACATTAATCCTAAAAGGAATAATAAAAATAAAAAAAGTTCAAGCTAAAAACAGCTATTTAGGTGTTAAAGACAGGAATAAATTATGGAAAAGCAATTTTCTGATTTCTTGGCCTGATTATTGAACAGTTCCTACTAGGGATGCATGATATCGATATGGTATCGGTATTGGCCAATATTAGCAATATAGTTAAATATCAGACATAGCGAGAGATACAGAGATTGATCGATAGATAGCGATAGAGATAGCAATATAAATAGAGAGAGAGATAGCGAGAGATAGTGATAGAAAGCAATAGAGATATATAGAGATAGAGATAGCAAAATACAGAGATAGAAGTCAATTGCAGAGAAACAAAACCTCAACAGCAGAAAGAGTAAATTTCATGAATAAATTTGACATTAAACATAATCCAAGTTGAAGTGTTACATAATTTTCAGCCCCCTTTTTTGGCATCTGCATTTGGTAACAGGCCAAACTGACAAGGACCATGCAGAATAATGTAGTATTTTAATTCCACAGCAGAGAAAGCTATGTAGTCTCTGTAAGTAGTTCTATGGCGAAAAATATCGGTATTATTATCGGTTATCGGCCAAATAAGTTTTAACATATTGGTATATGGGATATCAGGCAAAAATCCAATATTCTGCATCCCTAGTTTCTACCTTAGATGACTTTTGTGTTGCATTTGCATGTTGATAAATTCAAATACATCATCGAAACACTTTGGTTTTGATTTTAGATGGTAACAGGCTGAGAATCTGACCGAGAATCACTTCAGATGCCATCGGAGAAGTTGCTTTGACACTTGCATCAGTAATCCGATTTGTTTTTGCAGGTTTTTGCTCTGCAGCTCCCCTGATCTCTGCATGAGGTAGATTAATGAAAGCAAAAAGAGTTGGTGTACGCATGACTCTAAATCATACTATCTAACTATCATCACTGCACAGAAATTACACATGAATGCAAGTTTTATTCACAGTTTGAGATGCTCAAGTGCAAATACTGTAAGGTGGGAGACTACATAAACTACCAGGAGCAGCTGTTCATTCACAGCCTTTGGTCCCTCTGTCTCATGCCTGTGACCAATCAAAACCAAATAAAACCAGACCTCCGTTTATACCATCTTGCTGCTTCTGCTACTACACGACACGTACATAATTGGATTACAGAAACAGAATTATCTGCTTTTTGGGATCGGCAGGTACCTGGGATATCGACAAATTGGGAAGATGTCTGTAGCAGGTTTTGGCAATGGTGAGGCTGCTTGCCTATATGTAGGACTGTACCGTGCTTCAAGCACTCAAAGACTCTTGATGCTTTGCAAGCCTGGAACTCGCTGGCATGAAGGAATCGACCTTGGAGAAGGCTGCAAGCATGGACTTGCCACCTTACACAGTGTCCTGTGCGTTACGGACAGCGTGAGGCCCTTTTTTATACCTTCTTTCCTCATGTTTCTCTTCCCTTTTCTTATCTAAACAATAAGGGCAGCGCTTCACAACGAGGCTGCAGCCCCCGTGCACCCCCATCTACCCTTGTCGTCTTTGGACAGCTGCACTGAAACATATTTTGGCTGTGCTTAACTGTGCAATGACAATAAAGTTGATTCTGATTCTTCTTGCTCTGATTCTACTTTACTGCTAAACATCTCTTATGACTGACACCAGAATAATCTTTGAACTTGCAAGAATAGCCTAAAAATTAGTTAATGTGGTCTTTTTTTTTACTTCCAACTCCAAACATATCTGAGGTAGTGAGACATATGCTGCCACTTTAGGACAACATGTTTATAATGTTGGATTGTTTGTCCTATTACACATTGCTCAGTGATAGTTTTAGGCAACACAATGCCAGAAAGTTGTACGTTTGACTACTTTGACTACTGGAAAAATCCAATACATTTTGACATCTCTACCTTTAAAATGCTACCTTCAAATATAAAAAGTTTTTGATAGACTCATTTATCTACTAAAGTGTGAACTTCGTTGGCAAAATTCTACTAGTGGAGAACAAAGTCTCACCAAAAATCCATACAACTGGAAATTTAACCCAAATTTCATGTAGGAAAATGTGCAACGGCAAGGTCTGCTTAGGCTGTTATTTTTGGGCTTGACACGATCCATAAAATCTAAATCCATCCATAATACAATATGTACCCTAACTGGAATAATTATGAGATAAAGTGAGGTAGGCAAGTAAGAAATAAGAGTTGGGAGCAAAATATTAATGATTACCTGATGGAAACTAAAGCAAATGGCTTTTGACGTTAGCCTTTTTGGACTCCTTCCACTTTCCCTGACCTCTTTCCACCTGTCACATTAATGCCAACATCCAAAATGACCACGCACCTCTTAAATCAGGTAGACAGGCTGTCACTCTCCACTAATGGTAGCTGCTGTCACATCCGTCACTGCAAGGTTAGAAGTTTTCCTTCAGCGTATCAGGCGCGCACAGCCAAACTTAAACATGCAGAAGACCGCCTGCATTATTATTCCTTCCTTTTATCTCCACAGAACACAGCAGATGATAGCAGTCTTCCCATTACCTCGTGCCTCAGCATGCACACTGTTCATCGCTTTACTCTCGGCATCCTTAACCCCCAGCTGCAGCCTGCAGCAAACCAGCCAAGTAATGGCGTCTCCATTGATCTAGCCAGGTATCCTCCGCTGCCGTCTGCATGTAAATATTTCCAGCATCGGCTTTGAGGTTTTGGGCTCTGATGCTGCTGATATAAAACAGCATCAGAGTGATCAAGTGAACGAGGATGAAATTACACCTGTCTGTATTCTGATAGTCACAGGAGACTTATCCAGCCAAGGACACATCCTGCTAAATACAAATAACTTCACTTACTTCATGTTTGGAACCTTAAAGTTCAACCAGAAACGTAATTTTATACCATGTTTTCCTTCCATTTCATTGTAAACCTCACCTTGCCATGGATCTTCTGAGTTTCACTGCCGTCCAGGATGTCTTCTCCTCCATCTCCAGATGCGACTTTTCTCTGAATGTGAGCATTTTGTTCCCGTAAGGCAACAATCTGTAAAACGAATCAAAGACTATAGATTGACTAGATAGTACTATTTGAACTAAAATCAAAGTGGAATGTTTTAAACATGGTTTTAGCCAATATGAAGCTAGAAACAATCCTCGTGTAGCCATTGTAATGATCTTTTAAAGACTTTATTCTTCGTTTCCTCCTGCAATAATAAGGTTAAGCCAGCATGGGATTACTGATACTCATTTGAAGGGGAAAAAATTTGGTGTAGCTGTCTGCTTCTTTCCAGGAGTTACAGCACAAAAAATAAAGAAATTCATAATTCAAAATAAGAAGCGATAAAACACAAGAAGAGAAATCTATTTTGGTTCAGGAGAAACATTTGAAATTACCATAAATTTTTTTTAAAAATCACTTTGCATCCAGCAAAATTTAAAACACTTGATAAACATTTAAAAATGTGACGTATGCTTTTAAAAAAAAGCTGCACTAAAACAAACAAAAAAAAAAACAGTGCAGTACAGCTATCTTGGGAAGAGTCTTCCAGACAGACCTGCTGAGTCTGGTCCTGCAGGGAGGAGCCGTGTCGTTACTCAGATGGACCTCACCTGCAGCATTAGCACCTGTTTCTTCTCATAAATCAGTTCGGCTCGGGGGATTTTTGATGCATTTTCTCACTGAGAATTAAGCTGCAACTAACTTGTTCATACAGTGTTAAAAAATAAATCTCAAACTGTATATCTTGACTGTTTCAACCTGTACCTACAGTAATAGTCACCAGCAGTTATAAAAAGTGGCCTGGAAAGGAAGAAGCTGGTAAAGACAATGGAAAACAACCCATCTGTTGTACTGTTGGTTTGGTCTCCTAGTCCTCGGAAGCTTTATCAGGGATTTAATGTCTTTATTTTTTCTTTTGCGAGCAGTAAACTAGCAGTAGACTAATGAATCCAATCAGCTACTTAGACTACAAGCATGTCTTAAAGACATAAAATCCTAGATGACCCTTAATTTTCTGCTTTTGAACATAGACAAGACAGAGGTCTTAGTTTTGGACCCGAGCACCTTAGGAATGAATTTTTCTGTCTTTCGCCCTCCTTCGATGACATTAATCTGTCCTCCAGTCCTAATGTTAAAAATCTTGGTGTTATTTTTAATCAGGACATGTCTTTTGTCGCCCACATTAAAAACGTTACTAACCGCCTTCTTCCACCTGCGTAATATCACTAAAATTAACAACATCTCATCTAAAAATGATGACGAAAAACTGCTTCATGCATTTGTCACGTCTAGACTGGACTATGGCAATGGTTTATTATCTGGGTGTCCAAATACTTCTTTAAAACGTCTTCAGTTGATCCAAAATGCTGCTGCCAGAGTCTTACTGGAGTCAGTAGGAGAGATCATATCTCTCCATTGGCTCCCTGTCAAATCCAGAATTGAATTCAAAATCTTACTTCTAACCTACAAAGCCCTCAACAACCTAGCTCCATCTTATATTCAAGATCTTATTGTTCCACATTTTCCTAACAGAGCACTTTGCTCACACATTGCAGGCTTACTTGCGGTTCCTAGAGTTCCCAAGAGCAGAATGAGAGGTTATCAGGCTCCTCTCTTGTGGAATCAACTTCCAGTTTCTGGAGGCTGAAACATTGTCCAGTTTTAAGACTGGGTTTAAGACTTTCCTTTTTAATAAATCCTACAGTTAGGGTTGCATTGTTATGCTGCCATAAGCTTAGACAACTAGAGGACAAATTGATCTCATTTCCTCAAATTAATTATTAAAATTGAATATTTTTCATTTGATACTATTTTTATCTTAACATGTGATTCTTGACCTGCCATTGTGTATCCGTTCCTCTCAAACCTAGCCGGTCGAAGCAGATGACCGCTTGTCCTGAGCCTGGTTCTGCTTAAGGTTTCTTCCTCATGAGGGAGCTTTTCCATTCCACTGTCTCCTTCATGCTTGCTCAAGAGGAGAGTTCTGTGATGGAGTTTCAGGAGACTTTGATAAGAAGTTAAAGGCAGATCTTTACCTGCTTTCACTGATTCAGAAGTGCAAATGAGGATGAAGAGCAGCTTCTTTTCTGCAGGCACAGCGAGGATCACTACTACACAGAGGTTTTTGTTCATTAGTTTTAACAAGGGCAGAGTCATGTCTCCATACGCTTCCTGTACAATTATTCTGAGATCGTCTGTAATTTTTGCAGCTGGGAGATCAAACATGAACACCAACATGAAAGCACAACAAATAATAAACGCGGCACGTGCATCTCCCCCTCTGAAATTACAGGAGTGAGAAGTTTGCCTGATGCAAAGTGAACACGGCTCCTATTATGTTTCTTTTTGATCTTGTCGATCCACCGCCCATCAAAGGCGAAACGCAGAAATATGGGAATGTTTGCCACACGACATCAGGTCGGTGTGGTGCACTTTTGTGTTGGATTGAGAAGAATGTCTGAAGTAATGACACAAAGGAGAAATTAGACAAATGTATGTTTGATATATCTAAATTATGACACGGTTTGGAAAACATACAGTGCCTTGCGAAAGTATTCGGCCCCCTTGAACTTTTCAACCTTTTGCCACATTTCAGGCAAAAGGTAAATCAGATCAGAGGCACAGCATCTGTACATTAAGAGTGTTCTCTAGGCATTTTAGCTTTTAGAGACATTTTCATTTTCAAAACATCCCTTAAGAGCTAATGCTAACCTTTATTTCTAAAAATTATTTAACCTTTTCAAACCTAAGCTAAGTTGTTGCAGCATGACAAGTTATGTTAACTCAAGCCCTTGTATTAGAGCTGACCAATCAGAGGAAAGCCTTTTGATACAGCAGAGTAGTTGTCCTTTGCTCCTTGTATGATTGAGTTTGCTTTAAAGCAGAATTTTTTAACTGTGGAGAAACTATAAATTTAGGTTGAAAATTCAAATGAATACAAGTCCCTCGTCCCTCTCTGCTGTGCTTCAGCTCTGCCTCTAAAGACCCTCCCTGCTCAGGAGAGGGTTTATTTTTAATTAGTCGATCAATCAGACTTGAATCTCTGTGGCCTAGTACTGTCAGATCTAAGTAACATTTTCAGAAAACAAAGTATTCTGGCAGATCCTGTTCATCCATTCCATGGTGAGTTCAGGTTGCTTCCATCTGGATGCAAGTATCTGCTGCCCAGATGTAGAACAAACAGACTGAAAAACTCATTCATCCCTGTGGTGCAGGCTTCTCAGCGAACAATGATGACTTCTGTACTGCACCGTTATGGTAATGTCTTAATGTCTAGAATGGATGTTTTGAGTACCTACTGATTATGAAACAAATTGCCCCTTGGAGGATAATAAAGATTCTTGAACTTGAAAATTATTTTATCCAAGGTACCAAAATTGGCTTTAAAGTGTTTCTAAATCATCCAGTGCTGATGTATGACCACAGATGTCATGTTTTTAGTGAAACTTTCTGTGGACATATTCTAATACAGCCACTATTACAGTTAGCACAATAGCAGCAAATTACAGCCCCTTGCAGTAATCGGTGTGTGGCTACTTAAACACCTGTGAGTGAACAAGGTCAAAGGCTTCTGATTTCATCAGGCACAGCGATGCTGTGAAAATGCCTGCACGGAAATGAGACTCATACAAGACCTCCATCTAAAATCAATTACCAGTTTGCTTGCTCAGGCTTCCCTGGAGCTTCTGAAGTGAGACATTTCTATTCAGCAACGCCAGTCCAACTGTCTGTCTGCTGCCTCGAGGTCCAGTCACTCATCTGTCCACAGCTGACGAGTGTGTTAGCCGTATTTAAGAAAGAAACCCAAGGCCTTATTGGACAGCCTTTCTAACCTTAAGTGATGTGAGAGTTCCTCAAAGGGCTACATCCTCTTCAGTTAAGATGGTTTTCGTCTAAATGCTATCATGGAAAAACTGGGAATAACTTAAACTCGTCGGTCTCACCCTTTCTGCTTCACTCTCTCGTCTCAACACCTCATCAGCTTTGAGCCACAGCACCCTTTCACTCTGTTTAACACACCAACACAGCCTGCTGCCTCTTCCATTTGACACCTTTATTTCCGTTCCTGGCCTTTATTTGCTCTTTTGCATTCGTTCTTCTGTCCGATCCTTGTCTGTACGCGCATCTCCACAAATGACTCCAAAACTTCTCCCTTTGTCACTTTTCTTCATCTTTTAAGTTTCCATCTGACTTTTGATTTTAGGTCTGAGTAGCATGTAGATGTGTCTGTCTGGTGGTAAAAAGTGTGTGGACAAATACTTGTTATAGTTTTATGCTGTATTTTTCGGACTATAATGCGCATTAAGCGAAACTAAAACATTGACAGATTTTTGAGCGCCGTGTACCACATAAAATCGGTTTGAGGTTAGTAAGCACAACCAGAATTAATACATAAGGCGTACTGTTGATTTTTGAGAAAATTAAAAGGATTTTAAGTGCGCCTTATAGTCCGAAAAAAATGGTAGTTATCCTTCTTGCTCAGAATGGGACGCTTGGGGTCTTTACATTCATATGTCTTTCTTGGATGATGTGGCAAATGTCAGCAAGCTTTGTTACCTCCTGGTTGGCTGCTGTGAGCTCCTCCTCCAAGGCAGACACCCTCTCCAGTGACACTCGTAGCCGCTCCCTTACCTGAAAATAGTCAAATCAAAATGTTCACCTTGAATGATCAAATGTCTGACTGCTGTTTGAATTTCAACAAACCAGCTCGTCTAGCTGTAAAATAATGAACGAATGAATGCACGAATGAACTTTATTTAAAAAGGGACAATGTACAACTCAAACATAAATGTCACCATTTGATGCGCTGTACCAGATTATAGCAAAAGCTAATTCGCATCTGCAGTCCCTTGACCATGCTTAATGCTTTAATGTGGTTTGAAATATGAGGCTTTTATTGCATTTAAGGTACCAGTCTTTGCCGCTTACTCTTTTACTTGAAGAGGTTTTTGTATGTGAAGGTCTCGGAAAGCTCAGTTGACCCTCCACGTTTAAATAGTTGTCCCTCGCTACTTTGCGGTTCGATTTTCACGGACTCGCTTTATCGCCGTTTGTTTAAAAACTGTACATGTACATAATATTTAAACAAATAAATAAATGTGCCGCCATTTTGTAGTTTTCTTTCAATAAGCCTTCACCGTTTTGTCAGTTTAAATAACTATGTTACCCAGAAGACATCAGTTCACTTCCCAGAAGTCAACACTGCTTCCAACTGCTGCTTGCTGCAAAAAGAGGAAAAGTTTTGCAACCAAAGTCAGAAGTAATGATAATAATCTCACAGAACCGGCAGGAGGAAAGAATCAAATAATCCTGAAGCTGAACTCATCCTTCAAGTTGTATCTTCACTGCCGAGTAGCTGGGCTGCAGCTGATCTGGACTGTGTGACCCGGATCCTGGTAACTGCAGGGAACAGACGGCTTAAAGGTTCAGCCTGGTTCTGGTCATGCGGTGCTGGTCCAGACTGGGTCAGAGGTGGTGAATTAAATCCTGGGCAGCCTTGTTCCTGGAGCAGTAGCGATGAGTTTTAGTAATGCTGCACCAGGACTTTTTTTCATCTATCGGGTCGGACGGAACTGAGCCGCTCCTGTTCTGCAGAGCCTGGTAAGTAAAATTTTGTAGCTCATGTACATACAAGTACTGTATGTTGTTCAAATGAGTAGGTTTAAGAGTTTAGAGAACTGATTGTGTGCTTCATTGCTGCAGGATAGGTCTGCAGAAACGAACCGAGTTGGACCGGAACCAGAGCTGTTGCTCTTCTGCAGAGCTAGTAAGTAAAATTTAGTAACATATGTTGTTAAAATGACATAGGTTTAAGAGTTTAGAGCATTGCAAGAGTGTGGGAAGGGTTTCTAAAGCCTTAATATAAAGTTTACTGTACTTGAGCTTGGACTACTGTATCCCTACTTCGCAGTTTTTTACTTATCGCAGGGCTTCAGGGTACGGATCCCCCACATTAAAGGAGGGACTACTGTACATCCAAATGTGCAGCTCAACATTTTATCTCTTTGAACATCATGTTATTGAACGGACTTCTAAATGATGCATTTTAGGGTGAGATGAATGAATAGGAAGGGTGGTGGGTTGCTGAACAGGAGGCATGCAGCAGAAACTAAAGCACAAAAATACAAGATGACAGGCTCACACTAGCCATTATAGTACTATTAAAGTACCGTCATAAAAATAGGTACATACAAGTCTGTTTCATTATATTGTATAGATTCTGATTTAAAACTAATAGTAAAATTTGTAGTTCATACTGAAAACTGAAATGAAACCTTCTCAAAAGCAAGAAAGTCAGTTTTATTTGAAGCGTCATTTCCACAAGGGCAACTGATGGGACTGTTGGTGTAAAACGTACCTTCTCATCGAGTGCTTTGTGGTGTTCAAACAAAGACTTGAGAGCTTTGAGGACTTCAACCTCACTTGAGACCCCTGAGGGAGACTGGGCCTGCCGCTTCACCACCGTCATCCGAAGTGACCGCTCGTGTCTGGACACCAGGCACTCCAGATGCTCCAGAAGTAACTGGGAGAAATGCACCAAGCCAACAGTGAGACGATCAAAATTCAATGCACAGCTGGACGACAGCATTAATAATTTTTAATATATTTAAGCGTTGAATTGTTTGTCACGTGAACTCAAATAAATGTTATAGTATTCTCATGTTGACTGGAAGATAATTCAATTCAATTCAATTCAAAAATACTTTATTAATCCCAGAGGGAAATTAAATTAAATAAGAGAAACAATGGTAACTTGCATAAAATTAAGTGTGAAAATGTCATTCTAGGAAACATAATTTATAAACAAATAATGTTAAAGTTATCAGCATGAAAAAGTAGAATAATTTAAAAATGACTGATTACAGATAAAACTAAATATAAACCTACAGAATGATTCTAGACTGATTATATAATTGCAAACACTAATGAGGCTAAAATCTGCATAAAAATAAATAATAAAATAAAAATAAAAATAAACAGCAGCAGTTATGAATATACCTGGACTATTGAGCATGGACTTTGTTGTTAACAGCAGTTATGGCCGTCATAGACAGGGTGCTACTCACACATTATAACTCTTGAAAGCAGACAGATGTTTGACTTCAATTTAGCACAAGTTATTAACATAAATCAGTTTCTAAAATGAGAGTGGCAGCTCACAATGCACAGGAACTATAGCGAAGCAAAGACGACGCAGCATAATAATGTGGGGTTGAATGAGTGACACTAATTTGTTTATAAAATGTAATGCATAGATGCAGACCAAGATAAATCCTGTTGTCCAGAACATCACCACAAACAAGAACTTCAAAAAATAAAACATGAAAGCAACTATTAAAAATGTAAATGTTGAACAAATTGAATATACATCATTTTAAACCAAAAGTCAGACCAAAAAAGTCCATCTGGTAACGATAATGTCTAAGCAACTCAAGTGGCATCTATGCTGACTAAAGACTGAATCTTCCATTAAACAAGTGGTACACCGATGTCCCCTGTCACTGAAGGATTCGAATAGTGGATGGTTTGTTATGTGGCTGCATCTAGGCGTAAGATAGGTTCCTACCAAAACCTTGGTTGCCATGTCAAATCCAAGATGGCCACTACCATATAAACATAAACATTGTGAGCTGGACAACTTGAAAAATAATCTACAGGCTAACTTCCTTTTTGGTGTGTGGCTGCTTCCAGGCGTAAGAAAAGTACGTTTTGAAAATGGGGTCGCCTCGTCAAAATCCAAGATGGCTTCTCCGGTAATTTTCCACGGGCTACGCATGAGACCGATGACGTGTAATCAGTGTTTATAAATATAGAGGTTTCTGAGACTTCCTTATCACTCGGGGTCTGACTCATGTCGGTATTTTGGCTGAGTTCATTTGGAAAGATAAAAATAAAACTTTAAGACAAAGATTGATTTCTCATCTCCTTATTTAACTGTCTGATTAGAATAATTTCTACCACTATCACTATATATACATATATATATCGGTCTCATGCGTAGCC